GGGTGGATGGATGGAATGAATGTGGTTGTGCAAGATTAAGATGCGGTTCGATTCCAAGGCATTCGATCTCTCATGGTATCAAACATGGTGGTGGTCTGCCGGTAACACTTGGATCTGGATCCTAGATCCTTGGTCCATCTGGTAGATTTATTATCAACCATATTAAATTAACCGACCGATACCCAGCTCGCTAGATAGATAGCTCATATAGTTGTTGCGTTCACACAGCGATACGTGTGTGTTTTGTTGTTGGATTTTGATACGGGCGACCGTTGAAAGCTGGCCAGCTAAGTAGGGTAGGGTAGACATTTGAATTGTTGTTGCTCTTGAACCCTCAGTGAAAAAAAAAAATGAGATCGACAGCGTTTATGTGTTTTTTTTTTGCCTTCTCCCTGGCGATGTGACTAATAATAGGCTAGGTTTCGTTTGCGCATGTTTTCGGAAGTAGAATATTCTACTACCTACGTGTGGTGGTGTGTGTGTGTGTTTGCGTGCCCTTTGGGGGTTTCTTTTTTTCCCTGCCCGTCCAGCCTGGACTTGCACGATGTATGTTGGGAAAACATCGGACGAAGCAAAACCAGAACGTGTACAATTCGTGGCTATGGAGGCTAGTGTGTGCATATTGTCAACGTGGCTAATGCATCTCAACAATACATGTGGTGGCGCAGGAAAGGAGAGGCGGCAGGGCGAGCTGGCCAAGAGTCTAGCACTGTACCTGAAGTTCCTGAACATCCCTGAACAGCTGAAAACAAGACTTTCCGTCAGGGGAAAGCTCGGAGAATTAAATGGAAGGCGACAAGACAGGTAGATACGGATTCGAATGCGGGGAAAGATTGGGCAAGACTACCACATATCGTAATTGATCGTATCTCGATGAGGCGCAGACTTGCAGGAGGGAAGTGCAGCGGTTAGCTGTAACGCGAATATCGATTGGAGTAATAACAGAATTGATTGATATCAAAGTCTTTGTCATTCTGCAGGTCCTAGTGGATGGGTTGAATGAAGCGATGGATGTGTGGGTGGAGCAGTTGATGTGATGTGATGTGAAGAGACGGATGGATGCAAGACGATGACCTGGCCAGGAGAGTTCTGTGATTTGAACGGATGATTATTACGTTGCACGTGTTGTTACAGCAACGACTTTAATTTGCAGTGTACATTGCGATATATCGATAGGCCTGGAGGTGTCGATAAGGTTTTGTGAAGGAAAGTACGATGGGTCAGGAACTCGTCCGTGCTTATTTATTTTTTGAATTCACGGAACGGCCTCGCTTACACTTATCTCAGTAGAGTTTGCAGTTTTCTTTTCTGTCGCCTCTAACTAGTAGGATACTCAGCACAGAATGGCCATGATCGTACTGTAGAGAGGTAGAAAGAAGATGAGGTGGAGGTATACGCGGTGGAGGTGATCAAGGGCCGGGACGATCACTTTTTCTGTTACAGCTAGCTATTTTCAACCTAACCATGTGCTTGCGCAATCCAAGTCTTGATGTTTGAGGATTTTTAGAAGCAGTCAGGAGTAGAGTATGATAGACCTCCGAGTGAGTAGATGTGCATGATAGATAGATACCATGTACCATAGCTACAGGCAATATTACAATATTACCTGGCAATAATACCTGTCTACTAATAACCTACCACCGCTTTCCCCTCTGTCTGCCTACATGAACTTACTGGGACATGCCTAGCTATATATTGCATAATGTCAGTCGGGTGTTTACTGAGGTCCATGGATTTCAGCTGTCATGGACATGGATAATGTGCACTTCGCAGTCCGAGGACACCCCCGACGAGCATGACCGTTTTATCACAACATGAAACGACACTAAATAACAGAGCACGGATCACAAGGTGACGGCGGTTGAGAAACTTGGAATTGGGAATTCTTCGGGCCACCGCCCCAGGTCGTCAACACCGCTTCCTCGGTTCTGCAATGGATCGGTCGGCCTGCAGGAGACCCTTCATGCATTGCATTTGCCCCCGAGGCCTCTCGTTAGGCTCCGCCCTCGTGTTCCTTCTCTTTCCCCTCTCTGTCACTCTCCCGGTTTCGACATTGCTGCCGAATTCATCTCGTTCCTTGGTTCTAGAGTAGGGTTTTTGTTTTTTATGTTCCCCTCACTCTCGACCCCCGCCGCTGGCCTCGACGGCGGCAGCAGCAACAGCAGCAGCATTAATATTATGCTATGAGAAAATAACCTTGAAATGTGTAAGACGACATGAGTGATGATGATTATGATGATGATGGTTATGATGTATATCGTAGCCTTTCGTACCTAACCTGCCACAGTCACATCACAACAGTCACACTTCTGTTACATCTGCACTTCTACTTAATTTTGCCTACAGATGCTTTGCTTCCTCGGTATGTCACGCGAGGTACGGCTGCGGGGGAGAGGGTTCTTTATGTACGTTTCAATTGGACGTATGCGGCGTTGAGCTGCGCAGGAACGAGTTCTGAGCTGACACGCAGTCAACCAGTCCCAGTCATCCAGACAAGGCTGTTTTTCTTTTTCTTTTCTTCTTGCGACATGCCTCCAGCTGGGTAAGCCATTCCATTCGCCACTATGACGACGGTTGTCCAAATCTTCACGTTCCGTACCTTAGAGCTAGAGGAATCATTTCCACTTTACTACTGCTCGCATCGAGTCATGGACCGAGGCTGTGGCTGTGGCTGTAGTAGTGTCTAAGATTATCGGTCCACTGCTGCTGATGATGATGGCTACTCCTCCTGACTGATGCTAATGCTGCTGCTCCTGGTTGCTGCTGCTCCTGCTGCTTCTATTGATTGCGGTGCTCCACTATGCCTATGCTGTGTGATAGGTATGGCCAGTCCGGATTATTCGCAAGCCGAATTAATCAGTCCTCGCGCTCTTAGATGCACAACCGCGCTATCCCGTTTAGGCGACAATGTTTGGCAGGGGTGATCGACTTAGAGATGTAACCCAATCATCTAGAAATCTTCACCTCCTCCAAACAAGTGGCACATCAAACAAAAAAATTACTCCAGCGAATCCCATTCCAGAATTGCCACTCCCGAGCTACACTACTCAGCTGAAAAAAAACGCTCTAAGGCCCCGAATGGCCAGAGTACAAGGATGCAGTTCCCAGAAAAAAAGAATAACGATAATATGATTTCAGCCTAGCTAGACGTATCCAGCCACCATATTCCAGTGGGAAGGAGACGACACTCAAATCTACAGGCCAGACCTCGAAATTGATGGGCGTTCGGTCAAAGCATGGCCGAATGATTGAGTCGTCCCTCAAGCATGAAGCAGGACAATGCAAATGTCCTGCTGCAATTGTCCTGCTCATCACAAGGGTTCTATCATCTTTCCCCGTAATACGCGTAAGTACCACCAATGCCATTCCTCCGGATATTTTGCCCACCCCCCTCACCCCCTCCTGAGTACTTTCCTCCGCCTTTTCAAGTTTTAGCAGCGCTGAAAATTGCATGCTCCTCGCAGCTCCCAATACGCAGGAACCAGATATGGAACTAATCTGGAGCTGCAAGGTACCCTCCGCCAAATGAAAAAGAAAAAAAGCGGTTCCCAATGACAGGCGGCGAACGATGAGGCAATATAGCATTTGAGATCCTCTTCGGGGAAGGATACGGAAATATACAGTGAGAGGAAGGATGTCCGCCTAGCTCGCCGCCGCCCCCGGCAGCTTAACGGCTTTCGCGGCCTTCCCTCTCTCTTGGGGAGGGAACCATGGGCGAGTAATATTGTCCACCAATGGACGGATATTCCTTCACATGCGACAGGAAGGGATGATCCAGTGCCATTACCCCGGGGTTTCCATGGTCTCAGAGTGGTGAGAGATCATCTCGGAGCTCATTTTTTATGCATTTAATCTTTATTTTTAAATTTAAATCATCACATTTTTTGTGGTGTGGTTACTGGCCATGGAAAGGGAAGAAAAGAACTTGTTTTTTATTATACTATTACGGGTTACCGTATCTATTAATCTTTTTATGGATTTTAATTCTTATTATCCAATTTTTGACTTACTATTGTCTTTATGGACAAGTCCGAGAATTGGGGGGTAATAACGGGGCCCGCCCACACTTGCACAAAGAGGAGCTGCAGGATGGTGAGGGGTTCATATTGTATGGCCCAAAAAACCGATGGGGGAGGTAATCAAAGTGGGGTTTTTCTGAGAGCGAGTGATTGGGCACGGAGCAAGGGTTGACCTTACTGGCACTATCAAAAGGTAGAGAGAGGCAGAGAGATACATACTCTAGAGAGAAGAAGGCTAAGAAGAGGGGAGAGACAGAGACGATGAGGTATCCGGACTCGAGAGTAGAGTCAGAAAAACTTCGAAAGTGAGTACCCAAGCTGGAGCTACCGCGGGACGCATCGCTCCCACCACCACCACACACTTTGGAATAAATGCTCATCCATGCTGTCCACCACTCAAAGTTTTATCCACCCCCCCACCAAATCACAATCAACAGCACCTGCCCCGGGATCCCCCAGCCTCTGCGTGGTCCGTGAGTCTCGATAACTTGAAGTTTATAAAGTAGGATTTCCCACCCTCCCGGATCGCACTCCCCTTCCCTTCTCGGCTCCTTTCACTCTCTCTGCCTCGATCCCCCCCCTCCTCCTCCTCTTACAACTACTACTCCTCCTCCTCTTCAACTTCGTCATAGTCCCGACACTCTGTCTACACTCTTTGTTGTTTTTGCTATATTGTCTTTCTTTTTTAGTCTCGGCTTTTTCCACTAAGCCTTCCCCTCCTTCCACCTATACTCACTCACCTCCGCCCCCCCCCCCCCCCTCTTCTACTCATCCTTCTTCTACTCCTCTTCTTCCTCAATATCATACTCATCCTATCCTTCCTCCTCAACCCTAACCAACATCCATCTTACTCTCATATCATCACCTCACACCACAACATTTCTCAACAACTTATTTCTCCAACTGGCCTGGAGTCATTATACTACTCTAACATATTGATTACGGACTACAACAACTACCACTAGTCGTTCCTTTCTCTATATGTCGAGAATGCCTGCTCTTCTACTGCCAGATACAGCAGCGCCCTTTGCCCCCCGCTCGCCTCCTACCGTTGTACTGAATACAACAGTTGATCCATGGTTGACCGCCACACTGAAACGGATTAATCGTATCAAGCGTCCCCTCAACAGCGTTCCTCAGCACATGAAATGTTTAATTGAAACTCTCTCACAAATCTCAGCGATCTGGAATCTCTGCAGTCTCATGGTAGCACGTGCGCCCGAAGCAGAAATCGAAAGACATGAAAACCCCTTGCTGGACGCTATCTACCGGTACCAACTCATCCATATCAAGGCATATGTTGTCCATATCGACCTGGTCCTCTCAAACGAAATCGCCTTCAAGCTTTCACAGGACACGATAAAGGATCTTATCCAATATCACCAGGATGTATTTCTTGTGGATCAGGCGGCGACAACCTGGCACTGGACTGACAAGGATACGCAAATGAAGAGGCTGCATGAGGAATTTGTCCAAACTGTCAACAAATTCGTGTATCGAACGGATGCAGTTGCGCTGGAAGGCATGGAAGATGACGGCGCTGGTGAACTTCTCTGCGGGCGGAGCGATGATGTCAGGAACCTCGTGATGGGGTTTTTCCTACCCTTGTTGCCGCCTCCACCTAGAATCGTGGATGTTGTTCGTGCCCCTCCTCCCCTGCTTCCCAGCTCGCCTGGGACTACAAATTGGTGGTCGCCAACCCCGCCCGCTCCGCCGCCATCACTACCACCGCCTCCTCCGGTTGAGGCTTGGAAGATACTACCATCCAGCCCCGATACAGACAGTCCACCCACGTCAAACTCAACAATGTATCCGTCGATCTGGGGGAATATGGGTATGTCGGATATGTCCAGCATGAGCTCACCCACAACGCACCAGCAGCAACAGCAGCAACAGCAGCACCAGCACCAGCAGCATCAGAATCAGCAACAGCAGCAATATTCTCAGCCGCCTTCGCACCAACTGCCCTTGACACCTCTTCCGCTTCCGCTTCCGAGCTTGTTGGCCCAACAGTGCAGCACTGGGAGTGGTTTTGGCGGTTTCGGTTGGGATAGGTACCAAGAATATGCAACAACCATGTGACTGCCGGGCGCGCTAGGAAAATCTGAGGCAAGATCACCTGCGGAGGAGGAGAGAAATTTCTAAGGATGGTTGGAGCTGGCATTCACGAGACTGGAAGAGATACGAAACAACAGCGATGAGACATGAACAGGGCCTTATCAGCACTTTTCTTTCAAATTGTTTAATCGGTTATACGGGGAGGAGTTTTGCGAGCGATCGCAGGGATGGAAATGGTCGGAGCCACAATACCGAGCGACGATACACACATACACACACAACACTGAACACTTGTACTATCATTGGGCGGTCAAATCTGATTTTTTTGTTTGGGCTTTTTTTCCTTACGTTTATTCTTATTTTAGCGATCGGTTGGGTGGCGGTCGGCGGTCAAGCGTTGTCTTTTTTTCCCTTTTTTTCCCTTTTTCCCTTTGTACAATGTCTTGTTTATTCGTTTATCCCTTTTTTGATTTATTAGCAAGCGTAGCGTTGACTTTTTTTGGTTTGATTAATGCTTTTTCTTCTTGTTATATTATCATCGCGGGTGGTTTGCAATTTTGAGGTTTTATTAAGACGGTCGCAGCAATGCCGGAAAACAAAAAAAAAGAAAAGAGAATATGGGGCAAGAGCCGATTACTGGAGAATCGGGGCTTGACTATCTTTGTATCTTTTGTATTTCTCTTTTTTCTCCTTTGTAGTTTATTTAGTTTCTGATCCTTTTACGCCTGGGCTTGATCAGTTGTTTCGTTTTCTTTATCTTTTGGTACATCTACCATTTTTTTTATTTGTCAATCAATTTGTCAATTTTCTTCATTTCTTTCATTCATTCTTTCTAGGGAAGGTAATACTTAGGGTAGGCAAGCAATCTGGATTACGGGAGGCCGGTGGGAAGGGTGGCATAGCGTGGATTTTTCTCTTTCATTGGGATATATATCAGGATGTGGTCATTTCCTTTTTCATTTTTTCTTCGCTTCTTGCACTCGTTTTTGCACATATTTAGCTATTTACTCTTTTTCGCGATCAAGCCATAGCCAGTACAGTTTCAAGTATCAAGAAACCGTTCCTTTGATTTTCCGTATTCAGATTTTTTCACTTCAAGTGTGAATTATCACGAACAATATTAGCACACATAGTACAGAGAGCTCGAGGGGGGGACAATTTTTCCACTTTTGCTTTTAGCTCGGAGATAACAAGCTCGAGAGGGGGGAGATCGAGAGATAGAGAGAATTTACTTGGATCATGGAACTCACGAAGATCCAGAATCGAAGGGGGTGGGGCCGGGGGTGGAGCGGGGGTTGGATGGGTCGATGGAATGGGATGGGATGGATAGGATCTGAGGAACTGGGTTTTACGTCTTTTTTCTTCTTTTTTTTACGATTTCCTGTTTCCTGATATCCTCTCTCCCCGTCTGCCTCTTTCGCCCCCTGGCTTACAGATTTTCCGGGCCCCGCCTTTCTCTTTTCTAAGCTTTAATTTCCTTTCTGGCCAGTCAGTGACGGTACTGGGGATTCTTGTATAATCAACTGGTGATCCCATCTAACCAATATGGCCGTCCAGTCAGATAGCTAGTAAGCTAGGCTAGTTATCCCTTTTTTTCCCCTCTCTCTCCCTCTCTCTCCCTCTCAGCAATAAAGTGAGAATATTGTGCTTTTCTTTTCTCCTCTTGCAATATTCCGCTGCTTCTCACTTGATCTCATTCCGCATGATAAATGGGGGCGGAAAAAAAAGACTGAATAAAGTAACCTACACTCGGTCCTCCTCCTCCTCGACGCATTGTGAATCGCGCACATATGCTTGTTCATGATTGAGAAGGTAGGTGATTAATATCTCCTCGACTACATACAAAGCTAGTAGTATGATGTACATACACGCCGCCCACCCCCCCCCCCCCCCCCGCGCTGGTTTATCATCCACATGACCTGATCCTCCCTTCTATTCCCTCCCTCCCTCCCTCCCTCCCTGTGATCACTCTCCCTCGAGCTCCGTCCCGGCCTGTGCTTTGTCTTGGTTTTTGCTTTTGCTGTTCTTTTCTTGCCAGTACCACTTCCTTTGTTTTTTCTGGGGGTAGTGCTTTACCTTGACTTGATTCTCCTTAGGCCGGTACGGTACGGAATGTTTCTGTTTCTGATCACGACTTCTTTTTTTTGCCTTGGCCTGGTCTGGCAGCATGGCCTGACCTGACCTAGCTTTTGAAATGAAAAAAATGAAAAATAAAAAAGAGGATTAAACACAGTACCCGCCGGGCCCTTCACAACAGCACAACTCGTGACCGGATGGGGTACTACAGGAGGAGCCATTATTCAGACCGGCCTACATACCCCAAAGAAACAAGGGTGGGGGTTGAGGAGGAACAGGCACAGCTACAGATAGGTACAGGTACAGATACAGATACAGATACAGACAGGTACGCAGTTAACGGCGGAATAACTAACAGCTATCTACCCTACGGGCCTACCCTGTCCAAGTGTCATATCATGTCAGCGGGCCTGCCAGCCAGTCATTACCTGATATAGACAGAGGTAGGGTCGAGGTACATGTAATACGTACCTAAGTAAGTATCTATATAATCATAACTACATCAGTTCGATTCCCAATGGAAATCCCGTGTCTGCCCTTCGCAAGTGCAAGAAGGTACTTACCTGCACCCACCCTCTGTTTCAAAGCAGCAGCAGGCAGCTCGTGATCGGAGGGGGGGGTATATTACAAAAAGACCGTTGCAGCGTACATACATACGGTACCGGGATCATGGGCGTCAAGAGGGAAGAGGAATAAGAATAGGGCTAGCTAGGCTAACTAGGTAGAGAAGCTGATCATGGATTATGACTCGCAGAGTTTAAGAAAATCGAAAAACCACAACACAACCCACAACACAGCACACCCCGGGAAGTGATGGGGGGCGAGGTAGGTGAAGTACATACACAGGCTTCGCTTCGGATGAAACCGAATAGTTAGCCATGTGGGATGAGCTATTGGCATATGTTCCGAATGGAACCCCACAATCGCTGCGGGGGCCCCCAGCTAGCTGTTAGGCTTTAGATAAACATATTGTAGGATTCCCGGGGTCTGGATAGATTGTCCATGGAATAAGACAGGGGGCCCTGAGAGGATCCGGGAGTGAAGAAGTGGAACATGTAAGCTAGCTATGTAGCTCTTCGAGAGTGGAAGTGAAGTCGTCGAAGTAGTGGAGAAGCATGAGGACGAGGGCAGGGGCAAAAGGCTGAGGGTCAGGTTGATGATCGTCTATCTTTCGGTTTCTCACCCCCGGTCCTTTTCCCCCCTGGTACGGAGGCTAAATGGAGTGGGAATGAGTGGCCGGTTAATGTACCAGTCTTGTGTGGAGTACAGGTTTTTTTGTTTTTCATATATTCTATTGGCCTGGAACGATTCCTCTCTTCTGACAGGCCCAGCATCCGATAACGAAATGCTATCCATTCAAACGAGTTATAAATATAAACCAAAATCTATGAACGCCAGAACAAAACGAGAAGGGATCTCTCCACGTGCACAAACCCATGGACCAGTCCCACACATGCTATTCAGCACAGTGTACCAGCCACGCATGACCGTACATGCATTCCCCCAGCCAGCAGCCCAGACAGAAGAAAAATAAATAAATAACAGCGCAGATAATGAAACAATTAACGAGGTTGGGAAAGTACGAAGTATCTTACGCATATGTATGTAGAGCAAAGAATACGTACGTACGTCCCCCTGGACCTTCTTTGCTCCCCAAACGCAAGCGCAAGATAGAGAGTGAGGAAAGGATTACAAAAAATAACAAGAAAAAAAGGTCAGTACGTCAATCATATCAGTTGATCGATCAGTTCCACCCAATAACGCCTTCCCCAAGCAGAACACTCAAGCCCTCAGGATCCTCCTCAGATTCAGATCCCTCGTCATATAGATCAGAAGCACGAGCACGAGGAGCAGCAGCAGCAGCAGCAGCAGGAGCAGTAGTAGTCACAGAAACTACTCTTCCAATAATGCCTTCCTCGCCAACTCCAAGATCAAGCCGTCGGTCAAGTACCACCGATCCGGCGGTTTTCTCCGCGGACGGGAACATGAGGTCTACACTGTGAAGTATTCGGCCTGCTGATGCAACGCTTGAAGACAGGTCGCCGAACTGACTGTTCAAAGGAGTTAGATCAGGCAAAAAAATTATATTTCATATCATGTACTAGTTGTGTTTACATATGCATCCGTGCGAAGTGTTTAAGTCTGCCCTGCCGGATGTAACCGGCTGACGGAGGAGGCGGAGAAGGAGGGGAACAAAACTTACTGGATCCTAAGCTTGCAGCAGGGCAACTGCAGGCGCTCGAATTCGTAAGTCAGAATAGTAGGGTCCGAGTGGCCGGCTCCGTTCTTAAACTGGAGGAGGCAGCTGAAAGAGTTCGTGCCGGTTGGATGGATTCGGGCGACTACATTACACAAAAACGGGGGTTTATTAGTAAAGATTTAATCCGGTTTAATTGACAAGACGAAGCTCTATCTGTCTTATGTATAAGAAGCCACCGAACTCACCTGCACCGCCGAAAGATGTCCTTGACGACTGGCCTTGACACATGACTGTTTCTTTTTCGGCGACGGGGTTTGATATTCGGCTTGTTACTATTCGCTGAAGCTACAAAGAAGCTAAGGGTAACGTCGTATTGCAATTGGTGGAACTTTTCAATGAGAATCCGAGATATTTGACTATGAGAAGAGAATCAGCATTTTTATACTGCTGGTGGGGCATTTGTACTTTCAATACAGCCATCCGGCTGGTTGCGTATGTTGTATGTATATATGAGCGCGTTGAATTGAGCAGGTTTGAGTACCTTGGTGGATTACCTTGGTGGGTACAAAGCTATGTACTTCACGAATCCAGCCTCGGCAACAAGTATAGTATATCTGTTTCATATTATATACACTTGTATTCCGAGTGATAAGGCTTTGGAGATAGGTATTGAAGGTTTCGCCGGTGAGTCTTAAAGCAAAGACATTGATTGATTGATTAGTAGAGGAGGATCGAAGAAGAGAAGAAGAGGCTTGAGCAAAAGGTGCTCAGGAATGACCTCCTTGATAGGGAATGATCATCACTTGAGGATAATTTAGAGTTGTGGAACGACACCAGTAGCTGCTGCTACGCACAACCGTACCTGGCCGTAAAGCTACATGATCTTGCTAGCTGTGCCTAGCTAGAGCAGGTGGATGGAGCAGCAGGTGAAGCAAAAAACCAATCGTGGAGATCAATGGTGAGAAGGAAACCCAAGGCTATTTTGTACCGTTTTGAAAAGGACACTATGGTCTCAAGATCTGAGCCAGTCGGCCACAGAGCAAATCTGCTCAGTCTGCACTCGTGCTCGTGGTACGTTCCACGAGTCTCCCGTCCCCAGCTAGTGCAAGGGTAAGGCCACAAGACTCTATCCCTTAGGGAGAGCTAGAGTAAGCTCAGGCCATGGGTACATGTAGGCACACATAGCTGTACCTACAGTTGATGATCATCAGCATCATGCCTGAACAATTCTCCAGACATCTCCATAACCATCTCCTTGCTGCGTAATCATCCATCTCTCCCTCGCAAAGTGAGGTGGCACCAAAAACCTAACCCTGTTAATCAATTAGCCATCTTTGCTTTTTCTTGCCGGAGCGCGCGAGACAACTCGAGACATCATGGGGCACGGGGTATAAGACGAACCACATATATCACCGTTAATACTTCGAAACGGGAAAATTAACAAACCAGGATCGCCAATTGTTTGGTTTGGTAATTTTTTTCCGCGATCCGACAAGTCGTCATCTTCTTTTACTCGTTTTGTTTCATACTTCCCTAGTACCATGGGCTTGGGAAATAATGCAAGTTGGATGATACATGGAAATGAAACATCGAAGGTATGGTATTCCATCAACACCTTATTACAAAGACACTGAAATTACCACAGCTGCTGCGGCCACTTCCACAAAACGTCAATCACATGAAAAATACAGCAAAAACCGATTGTAATTCCAACCATATCAAAACTCCCATCCCACCCAATTTCCAGCATCACAGGGATCCAGATACAAAGATTGATGTTTTTTTCCAACAAAACAAAAAAATCTCTTATTCGAATTAATTCCGTTCCAACGTTTCTATTTCCTGGTAGAGAATACGAGACAAACTAGAATTTCCGATGGGTTTTAAATTACTCCAAGCCAACCTAAAGCTTGAATATGACCTTCTGGACCTGCATCTTGTCGAAAATCTCATACGCCTCCTCCGCCTGCGAGAGCGGCATGATCTTATCCGCCATGAACCTAGAACACGAGCCGTTTCAACACCTAACCGCCCGGAGGAAGGTCTAGAAGAGAAATAAAAAGGAAAGCTTACCCCAGCAAATGCGACTTCTGCTTCAATAGCTCCAACGCCTCCGGAAATACCGCCCTAACGGGACACCTTCCAAACTGTATTCTCAAATTCTTATTGTACGCATCGCTCCCCGAAAACGGTATCTGTTTCACAGCTCACGGAGATGATCAGTATCGTCCATCTCAATATCCACCGTTCGGCATATCGTTCCCTCCATGATACTACTCACCTCCCCATTATGCACGCCCACACTACTAATCACGCCCCACGGCCTGATCACGTCATATGCGGTCCTGAGGGCTGGACTCATTCCCACTACTTCAATTACTACGTCCGCGCCGCGCCCCTCCGTGGCCTCCAGAATGCGCCGCTTCATGCCCTCTCCGTCGGTCATGAAGTTGAGTGGCTCGGCGCCGAGCGACTCTGCAAGCGCCAGACGAGATGGCACAGAGTCAATGGCGAAGATGTGTTTGGGTTTCATGGAGACCGCGGCTATGAGCGCGCAGAGGCCGACGGGGCCGCAGCCAATCAGTACCACGGTGGTTTCGGAGCGCTGGGCGGGCGTGAGTTGGGAGAGGCCATTGGAGGCGGCGAAGTAGCCACTACAAGAAGATATCAGTATTGGTGTTTCTAACTGCTGGTAGCTATACTTGCTATGGAGAATTGGGGGGGGGGGGGATTACGTTGGGAACTATATGATAGTCAGCTTACGATGGTCTCGAAGATTGAAACATGGCGCGTGAGAGAATCTTACAATGTCCGCCATTAACACCAACTTCTCCTCTGGGATCTCTTGCGGTGCCAGAAACAGAGTTCCATCCGCCATAGGACATCGCACCTATTCAATAACACCTGTAATTAGCCTCTCTCTCTCTCTCTCTCTCTCTCTCTCTCTCTCTCTCTCTCTCTCTCTCTCCTCCAGCACACAATTTAGGGAGCCTTACATATTCCGCCTGCGCACCATCCAGTTTGGCACAACCAAACAACAATGACTTCTCACATCTGGAGGTCTGCCCTTGCTTGCAGTAGAAGCATTCCAAGCTAGGTAATCAGCTTGCTAGCTCATCATAATATGTACAGGTGAAGAACTCACCATGAAGCTGTAAACGGCGCAACGACCTTATCTCCCCTCTTAAAATCCTTCACGCCTGGCCCAACTTCTACGATTTCTCCCGTGAACTCATGGCCCTATAAAGAGTTTGTTAGCTGGTTACTAGACAGCAATTGGGCTGGTTATGTACTGACCATGATGAATCCAGTCCCACTGGGTTGGTGGCCTCGGAATACATGCAACTCGCTATACATCTCATCTCAGTTCTACCCTCATCGCCATAGAGAGGGCACTGGGGATTGCTACTAACCTACCACACAGCGCCGTGTATGAGACCTTGATAATTACATCTGTCGGATCCACAATCGTTGGGATCGGCCGGTCCTCAACAACAATCTTATGAGGTCCCTTAAAGACCACTGCTTTCATAGTTCCAGTCATTTTTGTAGGTGGGCGTGTAGTTATTTGAAGCTAATTGTTTGATCTAGGAAGCTATGTACAGCATCGGCAGTGATGGGATGTGGTCCCACTTTATAAACATGCTCGGGGAATTGGAGTACATTCCTGGCCAGAAATGTGGGGTAAAATGGACCAACAGCCTCGGAAATCGCATCTCCTCCACAGACGAGCTCCGGGGGACCGAGGCGACCAGCTTCTTTGTTAGGTGTTAGGCACTGCACTACTGTACTCCACTGCCGTGCCTGGGCAGAAGTACTCGCGCGGCCGGTTTGAAGCCGCTCAAAGAACTGTGGCGAGTGATCTGGCAGCCAATAAGAGCTCACGTTTTTGCAGTACTCAGATCAATTACCTTTTTTGTCTGAGCGGCTTCAATCCGGCAGCGCGAGTAGAGTAAGCTGGGCAAGTTGGGCCATGGCATATCTTGGGAAACATGCAGTGGTGTTCTACATCATTGACTGCCGTGTGGCAACAGCCGAGGTTAACACCGAGTAAAAGATGCTCTTGGAATACAGCGACTCCCCATATGCTGCCAGTAGGAAAATAAAGTACGGCAATAATAATAGGTAGATACTTACGGCGGGGTATGATTTTACCGTATCTACCCCACACAGATCATCTGGGGGCTGGTTACACACAGCATGCAGTGGCGCATGTAGCAACCGATGAGTTACATTACTAGTAGTGTGCTATGCGTGCTGGGAAAATCTCCGACAGGCTCGGCCCGCAGTACAATTTTGATCATGAGGGTTTTGAGCGGGGGGAGGTTGATGTTTACCGAAAAATAAGGACGGTTCTGTTGATGTTGAAGGAATGGAGCTGACTCTTGAGATATCAGAGACCGTACTACATGTACTGTATCTACAACCTGCCAAGGATTAGTAATGTTAGTAGCTAGCACTAGATCATTTAATATCAGATTCTTCCTTCTATGTAAAGGTATCAAGAAGCACGAGTATCTCTTTAAGATAAAAACCCCCGCTTAATACAGGAATAATGGTTGTCATTGTTTATGAATTCATCCCACTTCATTCGGGTCACTGAATATCACTCGTTTATATACCTTGGCACTCGTCATCAGAAGACGCTTGGGCCGGGCTTGGGGAATACCTGTACGGTGCAAGTAGTCATTGATGGCATGAGTTCGTCTGGCATTTTATACCACTACTCATAAGGAAAAGACTGGTCTTAAGGTAAGCCTAGGAACCCGAATCGTTTCAGGCAAGATAAGATAGCCATTGTTAGAGACCAATACTCACATGAACCGATCCAGACAACTTACACCATCTTAAACCCCTTTATATTCTACTTGAACTCCAAATTCTGTAGTGACAAAAAATCATGAAGTTACGGGCAAGATCGCCGCTATGTGGATTACTTTAGACCACACTTCTTCCGGCCCCCAGCGAGTAAAAATAGAACGAATTACCCACAAGTACAATTTTCACAACGGTTGACACAACACACTAAATAGTTAGCGCGACTAATATAGAAATAGCTAGCGCTTCTAATATTACAAGGTTGTTTAATTTATGTTATCTCTACGCGCTATTTGTGTGTGAGGGATGCCTTGGTCATGGAGTATCACTCGATTATTTCTCTTGGCCTTGGCGTGACATGCATTACGTGACGTGAAGATATAAACTGCCGGAAGAGAAATGAGGCCCTCCAAGGAGGAGACAGAAGGAAACCACGAGGTCCGAAGGAGAAGGGAAACATAAGGACAAAGGAGAGAGGCTTCCCCCTTAGCTCCTTGGATTGCACCCAGGAACTGAGAGAGGAGCGGAGGGGTGGGAAGGAGGTAAAAGGATTGTTTCCCTCTCGTATAGGGAGAAGGGAGACATGAGCAAATGCGGAGGAGGAAGAGGCACAGATCCCTCCGCATAGATCTAGAGAGGACGCGGGACATGTTGGGTGGGAAGAGGAGAAATCCTTCTCAGGAGTCGGGACAGATCCAGTAGACGGGAGGGTGGGCAGAGATGGAGAGGGGTAAAGGTAACTGTGTTTTCTTCTGTAAGGAGAGGAGAGATATATGTATGTAGCGGACGAGAAGAGGGGGGGGGGGGGGACTGGGAAGGAAGGAGAAGGGAAAGTCCCACCCTCTGTAGGGCGAGGAAAGATGAAACAGATTAGGAGGTTCTCCAGGGAAGAAACGGAGATAAATCAGACGTCAAAGGGGGAAGAGAGGTAGAGTCTCCTCTGTGGGAGAAGACGAGTAAAGCGCATATTGGTGGGGCGGTCTTGGAAATTTGATGGTCTTTAATACCTGTAAATAGAGTTTTGATATGAAAGCCAGCTGCAGCAGGCAGAATGTCCCTCTTTTTCCCTTTACGCCACTCAGCCGGTAGGTGCATTAGGACCTCTCGGGTCTCTTAAGCCCAACGCAGGTCGTCGAGCATCAGCATCGAAGGGTTAGGGGTTACTCTTCATCTTGGCACACCGCCAAGGTTAGGTACCACTTCCAACGCAGAGCCCAGCATAGGCGGGTGGTCTAGTGGCTAGACTGCTCGTCGGGTTAGACACCGAGTGTTTGGGCAAGGTCCTGAGTTCAAACCGGGGGTGGGAGTAGTAACGCACATTAATCAATAAGTCGTTGCAGTACTTTTTGTTTCTTTTTTTGTGTAAACCGGAGAAGAGATAAGTCTTGATCTTTATTTCTCGGAGAGGAGGAATGGCCGAGGTGTGTATCATGTATTATCACTCGACGTGATTTAATCCGTCGAGCGCGGGGAACTCGATACGGCAAGCAAGAAGTGTACCTTCCCCTTCCCACAAGCCTGGCGCGGATGGTTGAGCATCGACGTCGACTATCCCCCGTCACACAGCGTGGTTAGGGTTATAGAACAGGATGGGAAGCAACGCCAAGATATTAAGCTAGCGAGAGCGGCGCTAGCCCTCAATGTTGGTGCGGAGAGTTCCTTCACGCCACTCATGAAATATCACTCGGCTTGGCCAACTATATATATATCTATATGGCTTCTAGAACAATAACACCTCCGCCATTCAAGTAACACCATTTTAGCAGAGGGACCATCTTGGAAAGATTTTTGGGTAGGAATATGGACATGGAAGTCATCTCTTCATGTTTCTCTCCTTAACTCAACCTTCACCCGAAGGAAGTTAACTGTCCGCTGGAGTGGCCTTAAGTGTCCTAATTACGACGGTACCAATCTCTGCTCGGGGATATGATTTACCAAGCTACCAAGCTGAAAGTACAGTTGGCATCGTCATCTACGTAACGGGTCAGTGACATCTCACTTGAAGCCGAGCAAGTGGCTGCACTAACCAAGCCCCGGTGAAAGACATAACCCTCAGGAGTCCAGCTGAAGGGGCCGGCAAGGAGCCACCAGAAGGTCCGGTCACAGAAAGCGTCATAGTAGCTGTTGCGTAACGTGGTATCCGTCGAGCTGCACGATGATGGCATCTGGCCTAGGGCTTTTTTTTTTGGGGGGGGGGGGGGGGGGGTAAGAGCTGAACTCATGAAGGTTGTGTGACCTCCGACTCGAAATACTTGGGGATTGATCCTGCAACCTGCCGAGACGGGTGGACACAAGGGGGCTGATGTATATGGGTTTCTCTTGCCTGCCTCGATCCCCCTTTCGAGGATTCCACAGCTTTGTCAGACCTCCGCTGGGCAGTCCATGTCGACATATTCCGGGATAAAATAAACACATACCAGCGCCTCCACGGTGGCGCTAGTCACAACCGGGAACACATGAGACATTATCACCAATACGTGGGAAACGATCATTGACCTATATTTCTCGCGATGGTCTAAGAAGCAACGATACCATATATGGCTGTTCACAATGGCAACATTTGAATAGAGCAAAGGTCTTTTTATTTATTCAGTACCTCTATGGAAAAGGGTTTGAAGTTCTCAGCAAGAAGAATGATAACATTACGCACAAACCTTTCTTTTTATCACCTTTCTATTTCTTCTCCCCCTCCCCCTCCTCTCCGGATCCTGGGGTGGTGCTGCCCTCCAGTATGTCCTTCATACTGATCTGCCCGCTCCCCCTCGGCAGTGGTTTTGGCTGGTTCTCACTCGCCTTCCATCCAATCTATTCGACAATCATCAGCATCAAACCACAACCGCAACGACAAGCAAGGCACCCACCATATAGATAATCCTAAACGTCGCCGGCAGCGTCCCATCCTCATTCCCATGCAGCTCTTTATAAATCGCCTGCGCCGCCACCAACACATCCCTCTCGATGGGCCCCTCCTTCCTCCCCAGCACCGCATTCCCCTCCCCCATCGCCCCCAGATCCATCATGAGCGCAAACACATCCGGATAATCAACCACAATATCGTCCACATCCACCGTCAGCAGCCTGAACCCGGCCGTCTGCAACAGCCCGCCCACATCCCTCACATCCGCCAACGGACTCACCCGCGGACTCACGCCGCCCAGCCGCTCAGACTCGGCGAGCTGCAGCGACGTCCGCAGCTCAAACAACGTGTCGCCGCCCACCATGGCCGCGATGAACGGTGCATCGGGCTTCAGCAGGTGCCGTATCTGTGCCAGCGCCCCGGGGAGGTCGTTGATCCACTGCATGCTCAAGCTGCTGACCACGGCGTCTAGACTATTCTCCTCGAACGGGAGAGGCGACTCTTCATCTGCCACGATGCGCTCGATGCTCAGTTCAGAGTTCCACGGTGCGTCGGCGTCGCGGTGCAGCAGCGCCGGTGACATGTCGGTGCACACCAGGTGCGAGATGCGGGATGCGACGGGGGTGGGCTCGTCCGGGCGTGGCTTGGTGAGGGAGCGGGCGATGTGGCAGGCGCCGGCGCCGAGGTCGAGGACGCGCGGGAGGGGCCGGTTGATTAGCTCTTGGGGAGTCAGTGTTTCATTCTGCCCCGGCGCCAGTAGGGATGAACAGAAGCGGGGGAGTAGAGGAGTTTTTTAGGGGGGGGGGGGGAGGGGAAGTACGAGGATGCGCTCAACAAGACGATCAGCGACTTCATCTTTAAGATAGTCCACGTTCCTGCTCGCCTCCTTATTTGCAGCGGCGCGGTCACGCTGCAGCCGCTTGACGGCGCGGTTGAAGACTTTGAAGGTCGGCGGTGCGTTGGGGTTCGACGCCGTGGCTAGGAAGCGGCGCTGGGACAGGCGGGCGAGGAGGTGCTTTGCCGGCGCCATTGTGTCTGTCAATTGGTGGTCTAGGAGCGCGGGTGGGCGGCGGAGATGGATCTACTAGGAGCGCGGGTGGGCGGCGGAGATGGATCTACTAGGAGCGCGGGTGGGCGGCGGGGATGGATCTACTAGGAGCGCGGGTGGGCGGCGGGGATGGATCTACTAGGAGCGCGGGTGGGCGGCGGGGATGGATCTACTAGGAGCGCGGGTGGGCGGCGGGGATGGATCTACTAGCAGCTCTGGCGGGGAGGAGATATCAATGATCGTTGAAATTATGACGTTGGGATCACGTGCTGGGGATCGGTTTAGGGTTTCTCACATCCGGCCTAGCTCGAAGGCGAAGGGTTGTGGGGTAATGATAGGGCATGCACCTTTCCCCCAACCCCAGCTGAGAAGTGTGTGTGCGTGCACATAACTCTATTTGCCCACCATGCTGGCTGACCTGACCTTGTCTTACTGATCTACCTAGAGTACCTGCTCTACCGGCGGTTGTATTGTATTGGCACATCTTAGGCACTGTACCGCCGACTGATCGACTACATACTCAGCACTGCCGCTATAGTGCTGTGATTATTATTGCACTTTGCACCACCACCACCACCACCACCACCACCACCACCACCACCACCACCACAGCAACAACAACCTCACAACACTCAGCTACATGTAGCTAGGCAGCACTAGAGAACGCGCATGATATGATAGATGTCGGTGTAATTATAGCAATAGATATAAAAAATTACATAGCGTTTGTTTTGTCCCTCATTATCCACAACCTGAGTCAAAAGTTCAAAATCCTTACAGTGCCGGCGCCGTGCGCGCGCTGCTCCCCCCCAACCCCCGGACCGCCGGGCCGGGGTTCTATATATTCAATAAAAAAATCAACAAAAAAGGGAATGCCTATTCCTACTAAGGATGCATACCACGCACAAAAAACACAGAAACGCATAGAAAGAAGAAGAAGAGGAGGAAAAAACGCATCAACCGTAAAGTGTATATTTACGATTCCACAACAATAACAAATCGAAGAGAGGAGGCAGAAGGGACGGGGTTATCAAACGCCCGGCACCCCAACAACATCTCTAATCTGCGGCTGAGTCTTGAGCGCCCAAACATATACGATGCTCCACTGCACCATCGACACGATCCATCCCGTCAACTATTCAGCACCCCAGTCAGCACCCACCCCACCCCAAAACCAAAGGGCAAAAAAAACCAAAAAAACACATACCTTCTCCCTCCACGTATGAAAATACACCCCCGTCATCAACAACATCCACCACCACACCGCCAGCAACCCCACCACCGCGCCCGTCCTCCACCCCCGCCACCCGCCCACCCCCTCCAGCACCGGCATCACCTCACTCCACAGAAACAAACTCGCATGCGTCAGCAGAAACGTATGCCCGCTCAGATCATGGCCGCCGCCCCACCGGCCGCCGGCCAGCTTACACGCCGCGCTCGTTGCGGCCACCGCCGTCTCGCCCAGCACCTCGCTCGCCGCGGCGGGGTCGTGCAGCACCGCGCGACACGCCCCGCCCGTGATCGTGAAGGTACGGTCCATGATGGGCGCGCCGAAGAACCACTGCGTGACGGCGATCCACCATAGTGTGGCCAGCGTGTAGCGCAGGAACGCCTGCAGGAGCGCCTGCGGGCGCGTGGAGAGGCGCAGGCGTGACAGGTGGAGGGCGAAGACGATGGTGGTCCAGAGCCAGCCGTTCTTGACGAAGAGGGTGTTGAGGAGGTTGGACTTGTGCGAGAAGTAGGAGTGTGTTGAGGCGGGGTCGGGGGAGAGGATGCTGTAGAGGGAGCCGAAGAGGAGGGTTGTTGGGTAGAGGCCGGCGGTGTAGCGGTCGTAGCCGGTGGGGATGAGGGAGTAGTATGCTGGCTCGGGGGTGGGGAGGATGGGGGGGGTGATGGGGGTGATGCCGTTGGGGGTGGTGCCGTTGGGGGCAATGCCGTTGGGGGTGGTGCCGTTGGGGGTGGGGGTGGGGGTGTTGGGGCCGTTGGAGTCGGTGTGGCCGTTGGAGTCGGTGCGGCCGTTGGAGTCGTTGTAGTGTTTGGAGTCGTGCTTTTCCTTGGGCGGGGCGAAGGGCGTGGGGGGTGGGGAGTCCATGGTTTGTCGATATGCTATGCTCCTATGCTCCTATGCTGGGATCGTAGGCATGCACGGTGATCACTACGGGCTGTTACTGCTGATGCTGTGTAGCTGAAGATGAAGCGGTGGGTGATAAGTAGATTGGACTTGGAGGGGAGGAACAGAAGACCAAGACTCAGCCTCAGCCAGCCTGTCGTCGAGCACCTTACGTCAGGGGCCGTGGCTTGTCAGAACAACCCAACCAAACGAGCTGTGGCGGTGCGTTACACGGCAGTGTATATGATCATTCAACAGCTTGAATTCACAACCATTCTCTTCCTCCACAAAGTAAGCCCCCAGCCCCCAGCCCCCAGATCCCATTCTCTTCCTCCCGCTGCGACAGACAGACAGACAGACAACGTGATTCCTCTGTATAGTATGGTTGGGGACACCTGTAACCTGACCAATTTCGGGGGTCAACTTCAACCGCTAATGGCTTTCCCCAACCACACCCTAAATTGTTTTTCTCTAAAAGTTGGGTTTTTTTGTGGAGGGTCAAACGAATGTCTGAGCAATAACTGCCCATGTATTTGGGACAGTATCATTACCCAATCTGGATACTTACCTTCCCGATTGGGTAAGCTCCTGAGGTCTATGGCGACAGTTTCCTAGTCTTGGTATGTCTTGGCACTTGATCTTGGTCTAAAATGAATAATTAACTACCCGATTAGGAAAGTGATCTTCAGAAACCAATGTCACAACTGTCAACTGGTCAGGTTACCTGAGGTGTTGTTGGGCACGCTAGCTATAGGTAGATAGCAACTCCGACCGTATTACAAATCGTCTACTCTCACCTAACTACTCTACTCTACGCATTACTACATATATCTACTATGTGACTAGGCAACGCACTGTCACATCCTAATATTAGATTATCATATCAATACAGTACTTAAGAACCTGAAAATGTAGGCGAATAAGGCAGGGAGAACGGCGCCACTACATACAAATAATCCTTGTAACTGTCACTTGCATTTTCAGGTTCTTATGAAGGTCAACGAGTACATATTACATATCTCCCTGTTAGTCGAAATTGATTCATCTCGCATCCGCACCGCCGCCGCCGAAGAGACAGAACACAACAGCCGGCCATTGATAGTGTCCTAACTATAGACTCTGCAGAATAGACTGGATGCTGTACCTACATGTACAAGATCAAGTACCTAGACTTCTATTCTACCCAAGAGTAGAGAGTCCTCGTAGCCAGATCCAGAGCTAGGCTGAGGCTCCAGTGTTTCCAACAGTTGTAACCGGTTCAACTGAACCGACCGAATACGAACCGATTTAATTAGGCTCCGTTTGGAAGCACGCTCTCGTCGCAACCACAATCCCGCCAATTGTGATTTGGGTGATAGAAATTGTAATTTGGTCAAATTGTATTTTGGTCATCTTTGCAAAAACGCCCTCTGAATATTTTGACAATACCGCATCAATTCGAATGAGCGGCCGGTCACACAAGACGTCGAAGTTGCCTTTTCAAGATAATATGAGGGAAGATTAGGGGGGGGCGTATTCAAGACAAATACCTAGCCAAGCACGGGAATTTCAACGTCTTGTGTGACCGGCCGCTCATTCTTAATGCGGTTTTGCGTAGCAATGGCTCACCACATCAAAAAATTGGTGGGGTATGTCCGTTGCAACGAGGATGTTGAGTGCAACAGATACTCTAGAACTGCGAGGATCACCCGCCCCCTCCAAATCACAACAACTTGCCCAGGATCATAGGGCATACAAAACCGGTTCTAAACCAAATTGTAAAACGGTTCTGGAGGGCCGGTTTGAACTGACTGGTTTCTCCAACAAGGCCTCAGCTACATAGCTGTATCCCGATCATTACCAATCCAAAGAACTGTGCTTCTTCCGCACACGTTGTATTTTTCGGCATTGCCGTTGTTACTCCGATAGGCGCAGATGACTTTAACCCTAACTGCGCCCCGCTTAGAAACTGACGGGACTCATTCTTCTCTCGGCGTAATGATTCCTCAACTCGCAAAAAATAATCCGACGTTAGGTCTTTTCATGGTCATTTTGCCTCGATACCCGTGGATATTTCAACCTTCGATAAAACACTCTATTCTATATTCTATATGTATGTGTACCTATGCGAGGTGATTGGGCACCCTGTAGAATGTCAGCATCTCAGGCACTGTCTACAGTACCGTATCGCTCGGCGAAAATCGTAAATTTGAGAAAAGACGTCACTGCTCGAGCGATAAACTTTGCAATGCCCATCATGTTCCAATAAACAAACGAGAATGTTCCATTAAACAAACGGGGGACTATTATTGACTGTATATAAACTTCGCATTAATGCCTACCTGCATGTTCCATTAAATAAACGAGAAACTATCATTGACCTTATCGCGCGCGCATCAACATCAACAATACAAGTACACCGCGAGTTGTTGGATTCTGAGCGTAATAATATTGGATACAGTGGGATTAATTTGGAATACCTCCAATGGAGTGGACTCCTTCAATCCACCTCCACCTCCACCTCCACCCCCCGCCCACTCTACCGCCATCCACCTCCCCCCTAGTTCCCTTCCTCTACCTGTCTCCACTGCTCTCTACCGCCCTCTACCTCTTTTACTACTCTCACTCCGTTCACCTTGTCTACCTCTTTTGCCTCTTCCTCTTCTACTATCTTCTACTACTTTTTACCACCCTCCACCACGCTCCACCTCCCGCCCACTCTACCGCCATCCACCTCTACCCCCCGCCCACTCTACCGCCATCCGCACCCCCCCCCCCAGTTCTCTTCCTCTACCTATATCCACTGCCCTCCACGGCCCTCCACCGCCCTCCACCTCCCGCTCCGCCTCCCGCTCCGCCTCTCATTCCACCTCTCCAGCCTCCAACTCAATCCAGCTACCCCCAGTACTCCCAGTAAAATCATTAAATTATATACATAGACCTCTTTAAACATTAGCGCGTAAATCGTTAGTGGGGGTTAGGGCACGGATCTCGACCAATCAGACCGCAAGGTCCTCAGAAAAATCGTTAATCCAGTACATACTCGCCAAAAAATAAAGTCTGGCGGTGAAATAAGTACCGTTGCAACGCAGCCATTCGGCCAGGTACTTAATTCGCCCCCCAGACTTTATTTTTTGGCAAGTAGTAGAAGAAGAACATGTCGGCATATCATCATCATAGAATCATTTCCCCGAGAGAAACCTGAAGCATATACAATCTGCATTGCTTCCTACCGCTATTGGCCGACATCTTCCTGCCCTGATTATTTAGGTCTCTCCTCTTCCCCTCCCCTTAAACGCTTCGCCGAAACCGTTAGCGCAGTGACGTTTACTTTTTCTTTGGATCTTGGTGCCGGTACCGATACCGATTCGGAAAACCCTTCACAACGCTCCCCCTGCCGTTGATCGATCAGGAGTGGGCGACCCCCCCCCGGTAGCAATAATAATAATACCCCCGAGTTACCTGCATCACGTCCTATCCTACCTCATAACCTCATAACCTCACAACAACCCCACCCACCCCATCATTCTCTCATAGCTCTATTGAAAACTCACCTTTAAATCCGAAAACTCTATTTTTTTCCTACTCCCCACCTCACGCATTTTACCCTTGTGCGCGTGCGCGATAGCTAGGCGTACTCACCCCCCTTCACAACAAACATGTCAAACCTCGCTGTAATACCACGGACGCTCCGGCACTACCGCAGTTCACCACTCATCGCAGCACGGCCCGGAGCCGTCCTGGCAGCACGTCGATTCCCGCAGCAGCAACACAGATGGCTGGCCTCTAATACTGGCGCTGCTGCAGGAGGAGGGAGCGACTACCAGCTCGGCCCCGCAAACACCGTACAGCCGCAGCCCGGCACCCAAGTTGTTGGTGCCATTAATGAGAGTGGTAGAGGTGGAAGTGGGAGCGGCGGTGGTGATGGTGGTGGTGGTGGGAATGGTGGGAGTGGTGGGAGTGGTGGGAGTGGGAGCGGCGGACAGAAACGTAAAGGGCATGATTGGAGCGGTACGGCGTGGAAGGTCTTTGAGGCCGCGGCAACCACGGGAATGAGTCTGGGTGTTTTGGGGTGAGTGGGATATAGATGGTGAAGCGTGTGGTATGTGGGTGGTTTTACTGACAGAGGGGATCGATCGACTGTAGACTCGCGGGATACGGCTACCACAGGTACTACAAGAGCATCGTGCTCCAGAAGATTGACAACGCGTTCAACCTGGGCGATGACCCGGCGCTGAGTATGGCAACGGCGTGCGCGGACAAGGATGATGAGCAACCTTGGTAATATATTGAGATATCCTATTTTCACCTTGAAGCGGGCTAACAAGCGGCCTTAGGATCGTGCTCCCGCAGCAGAAAAAGATCAACAGAATCATAGCCGGTGACCCACGTGGACGCTACTACCTCCTCGTCGGAGAAAAGGTGAGACGCCCCCCCCCCCCGGAGACCCCACATTTCGCCGGGACCCCCCTCCGGTGAGATATAAAACCATGTAACTAACCCATGTGCCCTAGGGGACCGGGAAAACATCCATGCTCCTCGCAGCCATGCACAAAGTCGAGGGTGATTCCTGCTCCATGATGGAAGCCCACGCCGACCCCGAAATCTTCCGTCTGCGCCTCGGAAAGGCCCTCGATTTCGAATTCCACGAGGACTACATCGGCTCCCTCTTCTCCATCCGTGGGCCCCGCGACACCACCGCTCTCCTCGACATTGAGCGCGCGCTCAACAAGCTCGAGAAGGTGGCCCTCAACCGGCGCAAGACTGAGGGTGGAAAGCCAAAGCCTCTGGTCATGATCATAAACAGCATGCATCTGCTGCGCAACGACGAGAACGGGCGCGACTTGCTGGAGCTCCTGCAGCAGAAGGCGGAGGCATGGGCGGCGAGTCAGTTGGTCACGATGATATTGAACAGTGATGATTACTGGGTGTATGAGAGGCTGAAGCAGTACGGGTCGCGGATGGAACTGATCTCGGTCAAGGATCTACCGAGATCGCAGGCGATCGCGGCACTGAAGAATTATAGGATGAAATATAGGAAGGAGGAGGCGCCGAAGCAGGAAATCCTCGAACAGGTGTATGATCTTGTCGGCGGGCGTCTTGCGTTTCTGAATAAGGTTGCCAGGGAGCGCGATATGATTGCAAAGTGCAGAGAAATCTGCCAGGACGAGAAAACGTGGCTGTTGAACAAGTGTGGTCTGCTTGGAATGGACATGGACGATGATGTGATGGACCAGCAGAAGTTTGCGTCCTCGGCCATGGTGCTTGTGAAGCATCTGGTGGAGAAGGAGAAGGAGGACGCGAAGAAGGCGGAGAACGCTGGACATGATCATGGAGTACATGGGCATAAGCTGCCGGAGTTGGAGCTGTACAAGGCCAGGCAGGTCATGACAAGGGCCGAGTTTATCGAAGAGTTTGACCACATCAACATCTTCACCATCGACTGCGACAGCAAGGTTAGGGCCGACAGCGTGCCCATGATGAATGCGTTTAGAGAGGTGGTGGCCGAAGAGGGATTTGCAGAGTACTTGGAAGATACGCTGCAGAGAATCAGTGATATCGAGAGTTTGGGCAGAACGAGGGAGATCACAATAAAGGTAAGACTGAACCCCAGTTTGATATTATACAACTATGCGAGGAGAGAGACTGACCTGGATTATTTTAGGATCTTTGGCATGGCGGGAAGTACAATATGACGGTTAAGAACCACAAGGGCCAAACTGAAAAGACCATTTCCTGGGACGTGACACCCGGCGACAGAGACGCGGAAAAATCTGATGATTAGTTCTCTAGTCAACTAGATTTCTATCTCGCCGACAAGCTCGCGGCGATTGTAAATATATCCCTCCCACCTGCACATACCACGCATTTGGAGAAACTGGTTCTGTTTCTTGTATTATCTTTCCCGGCTTACATTTTTATTTTTTATTTCCATATGGCACTCACCGGACTCTGGCTGTCCTTTTCCTTTTTTTCCATTTTTCCTTTTATCATATACATCAAAATACCTGGGGCGCTTTGATTGTTTTTTTATTCTCCCGATTTGTTTTGGGACCATAGATAGTCTATCCGATTCAGAAATTTCCTTCGTTTTTTTTTATCTACATTGCGACGGTATGGTGGTGGCTGTCATCGTCTTTTCATATCTTTCCTTTCTGTTTTGTCTAGGGTTCTTTTTTTTGTCTTGTACTCTACTTTTAGAGGTGGTTGGCGGTGTTAAAAAGACACCGCAATATTAGCTATTAAATTTATCGACTTAAAGCCCGGACGGACGGACGGTGTAAGAGTTAATTCGACAGAAGTATCTTTGATGGTGATTTCATCAGGAGGTTTGGAGGGAACAGCCTTAAATACTCCCCTAGCTTCTCTTTAGCGCCATGATGTTATCACGTCTTCGCCACGACATCCTTAACCTCTATTGTACACATAACCGTAACTACTGACGGCTCCCTACAGACGGAATATGTGATATGGGTTACAAAGAACCTTAGTAGTAGGAAGGTAAACCTCGCAATGACTCCTTGAAACGCAGCTTTAAGCCATGTTTTCTGAGGTACACGCTTTGGCGACCATACCAGTTTTTAAACCACAAAGCTATGTACATATCTTGAACCCCCCATCAACCGCGAGTTGTCTATAGAGTCCATAGGACATAGTAGCTACGCACTAGGCAGAAGCTAGGAGATTTTTACTTAAAAATAAGTATATCCCAGTACTGTTCACAATTGTAGGATATCTGCGCCCTTAAAATCAGATAGACACAACATTGATGGTTGGTTATTAGTGGTCCCGGCTTCCCCTTGCCTGGTCGTAAACTTCAAGCATATTGCTTCAGGATGTATCACTCGGCCGCCAAGCCATCTTCTTTGCAGCCCGTAGCGACCGAATGAACTTTATACAATCCGCTTCTTTAGGTAAACAGATTTAGAGCAAGAAAGGCTGTATTTATTTTCGCGATTGAGCTACTTTGACGGCTGTCGTCGTAGTTGTAATTAGGGCTAGCAATGCCATCCGAATTTGATGGGATGATAGAGGGTTTTAGCTGTACCAATTGAACAAAACTCATCCAAATCATGCGCTCTCGATTGTTTAAACAGTACATGAGCTTCTGTTCAAAGTGCTCGAGTTTCTGTCGAATTTGTTCAGCTAAAATCCTCTAATGTCGGTGTCCGCCCTCTAAGCACTATAATACTGAGTACTCTGGTCGTAAGAAAACCAACTGGTATGCCATTTGTCAGTAAGATGTTGTTATTATCAGAAAGATCGTACAACAGTGCAGTTTCTGTAATTGCTGTAAGCAATCTAATCCAAACTAGAGCCATAGCTTCGATTTTACTCACTATCTTTACTTCAGCGATAGAGACTTTCTCTATCTATCGTTATGATGATATCCAGCGATATAAACTGTGTAAACGATTGCTGTTGAGTTGAACTCAGTATTCGCCGAGTCTTCTTCTCTAGTTCATCTTGAATAGGCAGCTAGAGGCTTCTCCGAGTGAAATGGTTCAATTAGGAATGGGTCGCAGTTAATCTTTACCGATAAGTTATGGCTTTGGTGAGGCAGAATTCTAGAAGATGTCTTTGATGTTGTTTATTGTCCGACGCATATCAGTTGACGTCTTGCGCAATTGCCTGCAGGTGCAGGATGTATGACGACTCGCAGTACAACTGCTGCTGCAAGGCATCCCATCCATGAAATCTGTAGGGTAGATACCGTACCTACTCTAAGTAGAGTAGAGTACGGCACACCCCCCAATTTTGGTGGGGCAATTCAAAGATCCGGATCCCCGTTTTAGTTTTTCCCGCTTTTGGATCCCCGCTGTGCTCGCCGGGCAATTGAATTACCGAACTCTCGGTAATTCTCGCGGGGGAGAGGAGAGGAGAGCCGGATGTTTTTTTTTCCTTGGTGCATCTTTCGCCCGACCATGGCCCTAAAAAGTGTGCGAAAAAAAAAAGTCTTTGGGAGGCTGTCATGCATGGATGGGTGTTGCCGGTTGCCCCACAGAACGGAAAAAAAAAAATCTCACTTCTATCATCATCTCAACACCCCTCGTCATCCATCCCGAGGAAACCTTTTTTTCAAAACATTCTCGAAGCGAACAATAGATTTTTGTTTTTCTTCGAATTTCCTTTTTCTCTTATTTTTTCCCTTGCTTCACCACCAGACGGCTCTGATAAGCTTCAGCTAGTCGCTTGTTTGTGGATAGAATCTCATTCGGTGCCATTCCTGGTTTACTGTAAATTTGACAACCATCAGTCATCATGGCTCCCTCAAAGGATCCCGTTGCTGAAACTCGTGAGTATTCCTTCATTCTATGATTTTTGAGGATAAGACATGGATTGAGTCGGACAAATTGGTGTTTTGTACCTGTGCCTGTGCTAATTGTGGGGATGTTGTCATCATTGCGGGATAGAAAATGAAGTCGCCAACGAGACCACTGCCGAAGTTGTCCAGCAGGAGACCGAAAATGTTCAGGAGGAGGCCGTGGCGGAGGAGCAGTCTCAGGATTGTAAGATTTCTTACCTCTTATTCTTGATTGAAATATCCTTCCCCACCACTCAATTGCTCGCCAAGTTTGTGGGGTTCATAGAATGTCAAGTGTGGGGGAGGGGGTTAAGCATTGTGCACGGATGATTCTTCTCTTTTCAATTGGATCTTCTTGAGATTTGAATTGTAAGATTGCTAATAATACGATGACGGCAGTGTTTCAATTAACGGTTAAGCTTCCGCACAAGCCTCACAAGATCGACATCATGGTACGTCATTAACATCGGGCTCAAGAGATTTATTACTCCCAAATGTTATATTTACAAAGATTTCTAACTGCGAATGCTTTTATTATCGTTCAGGTCGGTCCATCAGAGCAAGTCCAGGACATCCGACAGACTATTGTTGAGCTTCCAGGAACATTCCAATACACCTGCTTTCATCTTGAACACAATGGCACCAGAATCAGCGACTTCGTCGAGCTCACCGATGTTCCTGGCATTGGGCCTGACTCGGAGCTCGTTCTCGTTGAGGACCCATACACCGAGAAGGAGGCTAGGATGCACATCCTGCGGGTACGGGAATTGATTGGTGCAGCTGCCCCCCGTGTAGATGTTGTTCACGGCATCCAGGCAGGTCTTTCTCTGTTCGACGGCCTCAGCCAGGGCGAAGATGCGCAGGATGCAAAGGGAAAGAAGACCGAGGATGCTCGTCACCCGATGTCCGACTACGATTTCGATGCTCCGGCTTCTCTAGACCACTTTCTCCCCAAAGTCGACCCTACCCCTCCACTAAAGTGCATCAAGGGTATGTGCCTCTCATCGTGGAACCCTCCACCACACAACCTTAGACAGCGCGGCCACCTCTTGTACCTTCAGGTAACAACAAATGAGGGAGAGCAATTCCAGATTTCCGCCCATGTTTCTGGGTTCTACGTAAACAAGTGCACAAACAACAAGTTTGACCCTACACCAAAGACTTCCCCGAAGTTGCAAAGCGCCCACTCACTCATTACCCTTTTGAGCATGATCTCCCCATCTTTTGAGAAGGATTTCGCTACATTCCAGGAGTGGAACAGCCGTAAGGACCCATTGATCACATACCCTCCCACCAATGCCATCCCAGCTTCCCCGTGGTTGGTTCCGGGACAAAACATATCCAGCCACCAGGCCGACCAAGCCCGCCCACAAGAGACATACCTCATCTCAGGAACCGAGAGCGGCGACTCCCTCCGTGATTTCAACGAGGAGTTCCAGTCGACCCGTGAACTCCCCCGTGAGACCGTCCAGGACCGTGTTTTCCGCGAGCGCCTTCTTTCAAAGTTGTTCGCCGACTACACAGATGCTGCCGTCCGCGGCGCCGTCGCGATCGCAAGGGGAGAGCTTGCGCCATTGAATCCAACGGAAGGAAGGGACGCGCAGATCTACGTCCACAACAACATCTTCTTCTCACACGGTAGTGATGGAGTCGGCACTTTTGCCAGCGAGGGTGGTGATGAGGCGGCAAGAGTTGCGACTGGAAAAGATGTTATGGGTGTTAAGGCTGTTAATGGACTCGACATTCCCGGCCTACAGACCCCCGGAACTGTTGTTGTTGACTACATGGGTCGCCGATTGGTGGCCCAGAGCATTGTCCCCGGTATCTTCCGCCCCAGAGAAGAGGGACAGTCGCAGATCGACTACGGTGGTGTAGAGGGTAAGGACGTTGTTGCTTCTAATGAGATCTTTGTCCCGTTGTTTGAGAAGATGAGCCAGGCTATGCGGGTGAAGAAGCACACTGTTTGGGATAAGGAGGCTAAGAGCCATGAGCTTGTCGCTTCCGTAGAGACCAAGGGATTGTTGGGAACTGATGGAAGGAAATACGTGCTTGATTTGTACAGGATCACCCCGCTGGATATCGACTTTATCGAAAAGTACTGGAAGGGTGTTGAGGGTGTTGCTGAGGGTGGCTACCCGCATAGAATGGCTGTACTGAGGCCGGAGCTTGTGGAGGCTTTCTGGAAGGTCAAGATGAGAGAATATGTCTCAGCAGAGTTGGAGAAGCGAAAGAAGGCCAAGGAAGAGGCTACCGCAGTTGAGGGAGCTGCCAAGGAAGAGGTCAAGGAGGAGGCCAAGGAAGAGCCAACTGAAGAGGCTGCAAAGGAGGAGGCAAAGAAGAAGACTCCCGCAGAGGGCGAGGTCAGTGATCAGAATGCGAGAGATGATCAAGATAAAGGCTAACGGACATAAACAGGCCGCCAAGGAAGGTGAGGAGGAATCCAAGGAAGTTGCGGAGAAGAAGCCCGAGGAGGCGCAAGAAACCATTGACATCTCTGGTTTTGACTTCGCGCTTAACCCTGATGTCATGTCCGGACAGGTTCCCCAGACCGATGAGGAGAAGGCACAGATGGAGAAGGACGAAAAGGATGTCCGAGATGCATGTGCATTCTTGCAGGAGAAGATCATCCCACGCCTGGTAAACCTCCCAAACTATACGACTATGAAAATACCACTGCTAACCTCCTATAGATTGAGGATCTCAAGGAAGGCGAGGTCGGTTCCCCCATGGACGGTCACTCGCTCACCCGCCTCATGCACAAGCGCGGTATCAACGTCCGCTACCTTGGAACTATTGCCAAGCTCGCGCTTGAGCAGGGCAGCAAGCTTATCTCTATCCAGATCATTTCCATCCAGGAAATGGTTGCAAGAGCTTGCAAGTACATTCTCAACGGTCTCCTCCGTGGTTTGCCTAGCCCTCTTGCACCTTTCTGCATTTCTCACTTCCTCAACTGCCTTCTCGGAGCTGAGCACAACCCTAACCCTAAGGTTGTTAAGGACTATGGTCTGTGGAAATTGTACCATGATGCCGATTTCAGCTTTGAGCAGCTTAACATCCAGGATCTCCGTGCTTCAATTGAGAAGGAGGTCCTCAAGAGATACCGTTTTGAGCTTGAGGCAGGATGGGAAACCAAGATCAAGCCTCTCCAAATGCTCCGTGAAATTGCTCTCAAGTTGGGTCTTCAAATGAGGATTAAAGACTACCAGTTCGGCCCCGCAAAGGAAGGCGAGGCTATTAAGCCTAAAGAGGAACCTACTCCTACAAATGGCAATGCAAAGTCTGGCAAGGGCAAGAAGAAGTCTCCCGCAGCATCTGTTGCCGACTTTACTGAGGTCTCAAAGAGTGGATCAACCTTCGAGCCCGATGACTTGATGAACATTGTCCCAATTGTCAAGGACTCTGCGTCCAAGAGTCAGTTGGCTGAGGAGGCCCTTGAAGCCGGCCGTATCTCTCTCATCCAAGACCACAAGGATATTGGCCAGGAATTGCTTCTTGAGTCGCTCTCTCTACATGAGCAGATCTACGGTGTTTTGCACCCTGAGGTCGCCCGTGTATACAACACTCTCTCAATGTTGTACTACCAGCTCGATGAGAAGGCCGCTGCCGTAGAGCTTGCAAGGAAGGCAGTCATTGTCTCTGAGCGCACTCTTGGTGTCGATTCAGCAGAAACCATCCTCAACTACCTCAACTTGGGATTGTTTGAGCATGCCAGCGGCAACACTAAGACTGCTCTGGCCTACATCAAGCACGCCTTTGGATTCTGGAGAATCATTTATGGCGATTCCCACCCAGACTCTGTCACAACCATGAACAATGTCGCCGTCATGCTCCAGGCCCTCAAGTACTACACCGATTCCCGCAAATGGTTCGAGGCATCCCTCAAGGTCTGCGAAAACATCTTTGGAAAGTCTTCACCGCACACCGCCACTCTTTGCTTCCAGCTCGCCCAAGCTCTTGCCCTCGACAACGATTCCAAGGGCGCTGTCAGCAAGATGCGTGATGCCTACAACGTCTTCCTCGCACAGCTCGGACCTAAGGACCGCAACACAAAGGAGGCTGAGAACTGGCTCGAGCAACTCACACAGAACGCTGTGACTCTTGCGAAACAGGCGAAGGATCTTCAGGAACGCCGCAAGCGTATGTTGCAGATGACACCACGCGTCACGATGTCTGCAAAGCCCCAGCCACAGGTTGGCCAGAGCTCTCTGGGGATGCCAGAGTCCACCACCACCGCGACCAGCAGGTCAGGAATGGACTCGAGGAGTATTGACGATTTGTTGAAGTTCATTGAGGGTTCTGAGGGCCCGAAGCAGAAGAAGAGACAGGGCAAGACCAACCCTAAGAGGCGCGGGGGTGGTGGGGGCAGTGCTTCTAGAACATGATAAGTAGTTTTTTTCCCTTCCATTTCGATATCTTTCATCTGTGTTTTCTTGCTCGGCGAAACCAAAATAAATATTTCTTTTGTTTTGTTTTCTTTAATCGGATCTGATGGATGGTGACGGATGGGTTTTGGCTGTATATTTTATTTCTTTGCGGACAAAAGTTGCAAAATGAAAAAAGCATGCTTTAAAGGGGGGAAATTTATACGGGACCGTTCGTTGGGTTTGTAGTAGGTTCTTGTCCACTGTAGGAAACTCTGTATGGGTGCAATTGATTTTTATGTTTTTCTGTTTTCCCTTTTTTTTGTTTCTTGTTCCTTATCCCTTTCGAGTTGATTTTAGCATCTCTTCTCAACCCGTTTTCCTACTGTAAATAGATGTACAAAAAGTTACCATACTAGGGAATTTGAAGGGGGAGACAATACGGGGAAATATCTACCGACAGAAGTGCAGATCCAGCAGTAGTAATTCCATCTGAAGTACGGGTTGTATCGATTGGGACGCGTATCCGAGACCTCCTTTCTTTCTCGAGAGCCGTGAAAAGAAGAGCTTTCTTGATCACTTTACATCTCTTGCAATTGATTGCGCATGCGCTGTACAGGGAGGAGATGTAGATGTTTTTCTGACCGCCCGTATTCATTCTTCCAGAACGTCCATCGTTCGCACAGCTCTCCTTCCCCCCGTCCCCTGAGATCAATTGACCAAGGGTATCTATGCACAGCTGGTACCCATTCAGGCATAGGGCACTAGATAGCTCTAGAAGGCAGCTTCCCTTCCAGCTTCAGCTTCAGCTTCCAAAGTTACCTGTTGTATGCAGTCGACGAGGAGCTGCCGTACCGCGTCTCTACAGGCCAGCCAGGGTAGGGGTTCCGTTCGCTCGCCCGCTGTGCCACCCGAATTGCAGTCTCCGTCGTCTGTCCATCTAGCGACTTTCCTGTTTTGCACATGCACGGACAGACGCTCTCGTCTCCGGTCCCTGAGAAGGACTGGTGAAACCCATTTCATCACGGCCGACGCCGGAGAGAACTTAGAGAAGTGGGTAAACTACATGATCATGCAGGCACCGTAAAAAAAAAAAAAAAGTTCCGCTTGGATCCGTAGCTACACCTACCTACTCTATTGCATGCGCGCGCGGGGGGCGGTCGTGTCGTCGGCTGGTACCCCGGTAAAATCCCTAGAAACTAGAGTGGAGGTTGAATTCAGGTACCACCGTACCACCATACCAAGATGGATATGGGGAAATCAGCAAGGGCGATCAGGAACGGCATATGGAGTACATGATCCAGGGGAACTTAAGTGGCTGCGCTGGCAGATAGGTAGAATAGTAGTTAGGTGATTATGAGATGAGATGAGATCATTTTTGTTTTTCAATCCAGTAGAATCCTCTGGTCCCGATGGGACAATCTGCCCTTTGAGATTGAGGGGCAGATCTATTCTATCGTTACCAGGTATATGGACGTTAGAAGTAACTTTTATTTTTGTTGCCTCTCGATCTCGCAACACATGCAATTGAAACTTGAAACCCCATTGGATTGCCACATGTATGTAGGGTAGGGTACACGGTCTTCTCTATCTCATATCATGATCTTAACGAAGCGAAATAACGGTCGCTTCAGATTGCACCTGCAAAGGGGGGGCTCGGTGCATGATAGATAGATGCCTATCAAAACCTACAACACACCCACACATATGTAAAAAGTGTGGCTGCAGAGAGGGGCGGCATACTGGGCGTAATTTAATGTGTGGTTGATAATACAGGGAAACGAGGCGCGCCATCCTGTCTCTCCCATCTCTATCACACCGCTCCGCTCACCTGGCACTGGGACTCGGCGGCTTTTTGGTTGCTGTTTAGCGCTGCTGTATATGTACCTCTAAAGTACTTGTATGGATGGGCAACAATAACGAGTTCTATTTCTGCTCTTTCGTTTGGACAAGGGACCAAATTGCCCGTATCCTTAGAAATCGCTTCCAATCTCGGCTTCCAAGTCTTTTACCTGAGTGTAGAGCTCGTAATTGAAGGTACTTCATGTACCCTACTCTAAAATAGAGTAGAATGGCAAGCAAGAGCTAGAGAGGAACCTCGAAGCAGGCAGGCAGGTGTGAAAGGAAACCTTGGTATTGTTCAGGGTATTCAGCAAGGTCCTCAGCACGGACGAGGGGCTCTTCCCGAAATTGTTCAAGAGTGTGCCTGATACTTGTTGATCTAGGAGGTGAATAGATGAACCAACTGCGCACAGCGTGGATGTTCATTAAGGATGGACATCAAACTACTCCCAAATTGGAAACATCCCCCTTTCCCACCAAGAGCCCACCAAGAGCCCACCAAGAGCCCACCAAGAGCCCACCAAGAGCCCATGTCGAGCACGTTGGAGAGACACTGTGAATTGGTGGAGTTGTGTAGTGTGCAGAGCATGGTATAAGGAGCCGCTGCCTCCCCCTCCATAAATGTCTTCCTTTCTTCTCTACCCACAGCATCCTATCTCGCATAGTCATTCATTCCAGTCGCTCTTTTAGCACCCACGATCATTACCACGTTCTTTCGCACCTTGACCAACTTAATTACCACTTCACTTTTTTAAAGAATCTATTTACCTTTTTAAAGAACCAACCCAAATCAATCAACATGCGTTTCTCTGCCATTGCCGTTTCTGCCGCCGTCTTCGGTGTTGCCATGGCTGTCCCCGCCGTTGTCTACGAGACTGAGGTCGTCACCATCACCTCTTGCGCTCCCGAGAAGACCAACTGCCCGGCTCGTGCTACCGCCACCTCCGCCGAGGTTGTCCCGACCGTTGCCCCCGTCGAGTCCGTCCCGGTCTACACCTCGGCCCCGGTCGCCTCCTCCCCGGCTGTTGAGCCCGTCGCATCTGTCCCAGCTGCCGGGTCATCTGCCCCAGTTGAGTCCGTCACCATCCCGGCCAGCTCCGCCATCGCTGCCGTTGAGACTCCTGCTGTCAGCTCCCCAGCTGTCGGAACCGGCTCTGTCTCTGCCCCGGCCGCTGTCCCCACCTCTGCCACCGGAACCGTCAAGGCCCACGAGTCCATTCCTCCCGTTCCCTTGAGCACCGGTGTCTACTCATGGACCCCCTCAGCCTCTGCTGGCCTTCCTTCAGCTGCCCTCAACACCTCAACCCCGGTTGTTCCTTCATCTCCCAGCGCCAGCGCTGTCCAGGACACCTTCGAGGGCGCTGCTGCCGCCAAGGGCTTCTCCTTCGCTGCTGTAGCCCTCGCCGCCGCTGCCTACGTCCTTGTTTAAAGAGATAGAGAGCTTTTTTCCGTCTACCGTTCTGACGATGGATTGATGACTTTTCTTCTGTAGCATAGCAAGAGATGACTGAAAAAAAAATACACTTTTTTTAGTCCTGCCTGGTGTAATCTCTAATTCTATTTTTCATGTGGCGGCGTTGTACTTCATTGTTTTCCTCCCCCTAGGTGGGAAGTGGTGGCGTGTTTGTACATGTTGTGGTTCTTTTTATTTTTCTCTAGATTCTTTTTGTGAAAGGGTTTTTTTATAGGTTGTTGGTGTAGTTCGGTGGAAATCATAAACTTTATCAAACTATTAGAGCCTGTACCTACCTGCTTGCTTGTGGCTGTGAATAAACATATCCTCCTGCGGAGTGAATTGTTTTACCAACTTGATGTTGACCAATTGATGGATGATAGCAATAAATTTTGTGAATAGGGAGCTGTGAACAACCTGCCAGAGATATCCGCTGTACTAGCAGCTAGCAAGCAACTGGTTGATTGATCGCCCGACAAGTTCCCAGTCCGGCGCGTGCTGTTTGTTTGAGGTTTACTAGCCAGACCCCAGTCAGTGTGCCTTAATATCGAACCCTTGTTACGCGTCACCGTTTATCACTCTTGGCGAAGGACGGGCAAGGACAACAGCGGATTGGCGTGTCACGTTTGGAAGGTGCATCCTGAGCAATGGCGATTCGCAAGGGTCCCAGGACCGAATCTCGGGGCATTGGAGCGTATGGGTACACTCAAGGGATGGGGAAACACAGGCCTGGCCAGCTTGATTGTTGTTGTTGTAGTTGTTGTGCGATGGGAGTGCATACGTTCGATTTCCTCTCATAAACAAATGGATCCACGACCCGGATCCTCCGTCAAGGGTGGTGCGATCAGGAGCCTGCAGAATTACTGATGAGGAGAGAAACTGGCCCAGGGGTGCATATCCAGCCAATTCTTGGAAGCAGTCTGGAAAACAAAGCCAGCAAAACAGGACACAGCGTTAAACGTCCTGCAAATTAAGCAAAGTGTACTTGGGAATACGGATACTAAAGCCATACAAATTGTAAACTGAGATGAAAAGTGGTGATCACTGATCAAAATGGACGTTATTCCACTGGTGCTCGGAGACAAATCAATGCATTGCCCAGGAAACCCCGGGATGAGAATTACGTGATGCCTTTCATGGTGATGCCTTTCTGGTCCTTGTCCCGGTGCCTTTCCTCTATGATGATCCCTCAATTCCGGTTTGCTTCAACCATTTCGATGCGCTTTTTTGTGATGATGTTGATGCATTGTACTACATTGCATCAGGCCCATGAATTAAGACTTTCGGAATCAGACCTTCTCCTCAGATGCCTCCCTGCATTGCAAAGAAGAAATCTCTCCTGAGATTTCACCGTGCATGTTTGCTCGAAGGTATTCCAGAAACGCGTAATGGTCATGATGTAAAGGTATATGTAGCTCATCAAACGAAACAGAATACATATATGCAAGCCTCCACTAAGCCCTATGATCTCCCACATATGGGCCACCTAATTAATCAAGCCAAAGTCATGTGATGTAAAAACCACAGCCTGAAACATCATAAACACATATGTATGCATTACACAACAAGCCCTCGAGAATGTGCCCACAAGTACATGTACTGTCGTTCACGGGGTATTGGCGGACACTGGGTATTGGCGAATTGCAGGTAAAAGTTGGCTTGGCTGTCTCTTTTTTGCCCTGTCCGCCATCACCCAGTATCCGCCAATACCCCGTGAACGACAGTACCTATCTACGATTTGGGGGGCGAAGCTTATCTCACCACGAACCTCACTCAGCACCGCCGGTCACTTCCACACAGCTCCAAAACAAGCTTATCGCCAAATTTGATAATGGTTTTGTGTGGTTTTACAATCACCGGCAGTCAGTTTCGTGTGGTCCATGCACGAGCTGCCGAGACAAGACGATTGAAGGATTCCCGTGCCTTAAGTAAGTAGCTCTAGACCTAGGTCCTTTTTCTACTTTCAACTCAGAATCTCGAAAAGGTCCCTTCCCTTCACAAGCTGCCCTCCCACTCCCACCCCCCCTCCAGCCAGCCGAGGAGTTACAAGCCGAGCAGTTTGTGTTCCCCGGGCGCGCGCGTGCGTGTGTGATGATCAGGTTATATAAAACTTTACACGGGAAGGCCATAGCCTTAGGCCAACCATAGCTATGTATACGAGACCACTAGGTAGTTTTTTTAAACCCTTTGTGCGGAACTATTGGGCGAGGGGCGGTATATTAGTTAGTGATACGCGTGTGTGGGGGTACGTTACCTTCTTAACTTTTCGTTGTTAGCTGAGATCAGCGTTACAACCAAAAATAAACTGGCCTCTTTTTTTTTTTTTTTTTCCTCGTACGTCGTCGGTGAGGAATTATGTATTAGCTGACGCTAAAAGCAAAAAAAGAGTTTAAGTGCGCGTCGAGTGATATTTCATGCTTCTCGTTCATGGCCACTCACTAGGGCTTAATTATAATATTATGTCCAGATTCTAGTTTGGCCCAAAAGTACATATCTATCAGAATAATGAGCGTGTATATTACATACACGTAGTTACCTATCTGCCACAATAAACTACGTATCCGTAGATACCCCCCCCCTCCGGGGGTGGGGGAGAGCGGGGGGGTGCAGCGGGTGAAAAAACGAAACAACACCCAAGGAGGTGATTAAACGGTATCCTGCATCCACGCATCACTGCATCCAACCATAATAGCTATATATATTACATATCTTCAAATCTTAAAACTCCTCTCATTCGGGTGGGAGGGGGGGTCAAATCCCACCTTTCCCTGGGGTCGAGATTGTTCCCGATCTTAGAGCCGAGATAGGACGGTTGTGTGCATATGTACATAGGATCATTAAATGCGGTAAGCACCCGGGCGGAAGCAGTTGCAATCGAAATATACATATCTAGGTAGTTATGGGCGCTGGACGTGGACTAGCTGTATATATAGTTGAATAGATAATACGAAATTGAAGGTCAATTTCTTTGTAAAGTCATATAGCCCATGATGATAACCCCAAATTGGTTTAGGCAGTCGACTTTCAGCTGGATCTGTCGCGGAACATAATGAGATTTAATCGGCGGTAATGTTGACCAAAGAGGGAAGAATACAATCTCAAGGCGCTTTATTCTTATTACTCGAGACGAAAGGCCCAAGACGGTGACATGCGGGTAGGTAAATTTCCTTTGAGATAACAATCACAGATTCTCACTCGGACAGTAAATGGCTGCGTGACATTGGAAGTAGTAAGCGCCCTCACCACCGGTATACACCCCTTGAGAAAGATCCAACAACAGACTGAAAACAAGATCACCCACCTCGGCGCTTCTAGAAAAGCCAATCATCTTCTACTACTATGCAATATGATGCTCTCGTCCCGGAGTTCGTTCTACGCATTACGCCCAATCGCCGGAATGACATAGTTCCGTGATTGATAGTTTGAAACCGAACTCTCCGCGGGAGATCATCTGTGTAGTAATCCCGGAGTACATGTGCGTACATGAACGGGATGTTTACCAAAACCGGGTGGGTGGGGGTTAGGGTTAATTCAGTATGCATATCGACTGCCTGGTATGAGTACCACCGGTGCATGATGAACGAATACGCATCACAAAACACCGCCCCCACTCCTTCCGGGCCTACCTCAAACGGCTATCGTCGTTGGAGTTTTCGTGGGACGAGTTGTAAGTCTAGGAAGAAGAGATTTACTGGGCTGGTCATGGGTTATTCGCCACCGCCATGCCAGCACCCCGCTCTCTTTTTTATTGATTTGATTTAATATTTTGTCGTAACGGCGATGACAGCAGCGAGTTATTTTGAGGCGTCCAAGTCTGGCCAGAGATAACTCCACTTCTACCCCCACAAGCCTGAAGAATTTTTTTTTGATGAGAAAAACCACGACTGTAGCCGAGAGCTTTGGCTGTTGGGATTGATCTCGCACAAGGCTACCACCAATTTAAGACTTTTTGCAACGATACGCAATCCCGCGCAAATTTCAAAGGGAATAGCCTTGTTTCTCAAATATATCAGACTCAAAAACATGTTTGCCCAATTAAAGCGGTATCAACATGTATCATGGTATTTACCAGAGCCAGGACAACCGTGCATGAATCCTTGTGTAGATACATGTAGATATAAGTCAATTGAATCGTTTTTTTATAAAGCGGGACATTTAGATTTTCATTGAAAGTTTACGTATTAACCGTTTGGGCGTTGCCGGTCTTTCCTTACGCTGGCTCGTGGGGAGGGCCCTCGACGAAGAAGCGGGTTACATAATCGTCAGACTCAAACCTGTATTCTCGGCTGATCTCATGGATGATAAGCTTTTGTTGAAGGCAGGTGTGCGGTCGTATGTAGGCCTCCTCTCTTGCCTTTTATGGAGCATGCAACTCTAAATATGCGAGCGAGGTAACACGTGCGAAGTGCGGCCAACAGGAAGGCTCTAGATCCCCACCCACGGAGTAATTGAGAGCATATGGAGATTGATAGCTAGAAGCAATCAGGCTCTAGGCAGATAGGCGGAGACGTATCGATGATAGAGTAGCTCAACTGCAGATGTGTGATTGGAGCTCCAGTTCATGTACACTGCTTTGAAGATGATGATGAAGAGAAAGCAGATGATGATGGTGGAGTGGGGTGCGTATACCGTGTGGAGTAAGTTACACGCCATGGAGGACACTGTGGGGAGTTTGGTTAAGGGTATGTGTCACAAGCCATCTACTAACATAGAGTTGTCAGAGGAATACTCCAATCAGAATTAATCCATACCCGCTCCCCGAGCTTGTTAACCCCGAGAGTTGGAGCATCAACAGTACCTGAGAAGCCAATCCTTCATGAGAGGAATATAGCCCACAGCTACATGCCGGCAGATTCTTTGATTTGTGCAATTGCGTGGGGATGCTTGAACATGAACCGCGGGGGGTGTCAGGTAGGCAGACAAACAAATAAACATATTTCCTTTCCTTTCCTTTCCTGCCTTTCCCTTTCCTTTTTCTTCTGCCTTCCCCCCAAATAATACGTGAATGACATGCTAACGTGAAAAACCAGCCAGTAATTCTGTTCTCTCTTCATTCTACATGAACAGCTGATCATGCTACGTTCCGTTGGGATACGCTTTTGGCCGATAGGAATAGTAAAGTTCATTGGCAATTCACACAGCTCTCTCTATTGGGCGTCTGTGTAGTATCATGTCCAACGCAGGTTATGTTAGGGCTCGGCTCATTAAACTCCTACCCTCTAATTTCAGATAGTCATGTCTTTTAGATATCTATCCACTCGAAAATACCGATGGAGTGGAGGCGAGTACGGCTGGCTAGACCTGTATATCGCGGTCAACATAAATGCCGACAGTGGGGTGTTACCTGGTAGTCACACGAAATCACTCGCCGTGTAGTAACCCATCGGCCAAACATGTCACCCCACAAACCAAGGCCAATGGATGAATACGTCACAAAGGTCGGGTTTCTGTTGGTAGCCAGCCGACAACCAGCACAAAGCTTCACCCTTTCTAGACATTTCACTACCCCCAAACTCTTGCGGGACCAAAAGAAAATAAAGACTGTTTCTTTTGCTAGGACAGGGAAGCGAGGGGGGAAACTGGCGGTACGAAAGGAAGTGAACGGACGGTACGGGAGGACAATTCGAATGTGTGTGCCGGCTGACGTGCAGGTCTTTCTTCTTTCTTTTTTGCTTCTATGTTTCTTCCCTTCATACACTTTGACCGTCTCTCACGCGTATGAGATAGGTACCTTCTTTGCAGCCACCGAGACATCCAACAATAAGGATTATGGGACCCCTTGCGCCTTCTCTTGGACGAGAGATCGAGTGTGGTGGGTGTTTATCGTACTGATCGGATTAGATCGGACTTTTAAACTGGACGGAAAGACCATGTGGCCAGGCGAAGTTTAATGTTACTTTTTCTTTTATTTCCGCCCTGAAGAACTACAGGTCAAGTGCCCGCTGACTACTGCTTTATATCGGAATCTCTAATGATTTGCAATGATCATTCAGCTAGGCAGTTCGGGAACTTAAATAATTAACATAGAGTGGTTTGAAGATGATATCATATGGGCTTCTAAACTGCCACCCATCTAGCTATATCGGTCCTAGATCCGAGGTTTTGTGTTGATTGATTCCTTCTAGTCAAGTCGGATCCAAGGTAGGCGACAATTGAAATCCGACGACGAGCTGGCCAGAATTCAGATGAATTGGTGTTTTACCAGTCCAGGCCGTCATACAAATACGTACTCGTACTACATACTCTGTATTGTATTGCCCCCCCCCCCCCCCTTCGTCCAGCGCCCCACGCCGTTTTACACCCGTCGTTTGCTTGTGGGTACATGTAGTTTAAGGATCAGGCTATTTATCTTGAAGATAAGATGGCCCCATTTGGTTTCTATCCCTGTGGCAACCCGTTAAGCTCCCACGCACTGGTCTCAAGGATCGGGGAATCGCAACGCAAGTGAGGGTACCCCCAAACAATTATCCGAGTCCTTCTTTCCTCCTTATTCTAGGGCCGGGTATCCGAGTGAACATTATTCTAATTCCAATTCCAATCTGATACGAGCAGGATCGAAGCAATGGGACATTTGGTATAATCTCTGTCCAAAATATCACCTACAGGTATCTAAATAGTAGTTGGATGCCGATAATTTCGACAAATGAGATCAAGCAATTGTTTGCATATGCGTCCCGGAGACATTTATGCGTATGCGTAAGCTAATTGGTCCAAGATATGACTACAGTCTTTCACCTAGGACAAAGCTGGATACACAAAGACAGTTCAAGGAACTTCATCGCGCTCTATGTGAGTAGGATGTATGAGATCCCACGGCACATATTTTCGTCCCCTTCACAGATCCTGCCCAAAGCACACGTAGACGAAGGAAATGAAGGGTCTTTGGCTTGCACATTTCTCTTACCCCATATAGCCGTTTCTAACCACCAAGTCGCTTGCTCTAGAAAGTCGACATGAAGCTCGCTCTTGAGAACCTCGACTTTCTCCCCGTTGCCCGTGATCTCATCCCTGACCAGACCCTAACAAGGTTCCAACGTCAACAACCCCCATTTCCCACCCCCCTACTAATCCAACGGCGTCCCTTGAAGATCCCCCACACAACACAACAATTCTAGTCGGTAACCGTTTTCAGTTAGAGGTGCAAGGTCCAAACTTTCCCCAGCAAGCCGACTGGCGGAGCGGGCGAACCACCCACTGGTGAATAAATAAATGATTATTATTTGAGCCATCCCCCCCCCCCAAGAAAAAAAGAATATGGGGGGAGAAATATAGATCCAACGAAGGAAACGAAGATTCTAGGGGTCTCATATCTAGGTGCCTACCAGTGACGCGCACACGCCGATACGTTAGGAGAATTACAGAGCGGTTTTAGTAATCAATCAATCTCCACGAGGTATCTGGCGGGTATGCTACTCTAAAAGTGGGCTCCCCGTGTACGTATGTACATACGATGGGACAACTCTGTTAAATCGAGCATTCGATTGCATTCATTTCTGCGGCCACGCGAGAACTGGGAGGACTCCTTGTGGATTGTGTTGTAGGGGGCGTGTAGAGACAAGTACCTATGTGGTTATTCTACCTACATGGAGGTTGATTTGATGATCCCAAAAGTAACCATCCACTGCGATTGTTTCCATAGTGGTAGTTTCACCAGTCGATCATAGGTTGATTCGTACCCTTAGCAACTGTTGATTCGCACATTCCATGTACCACCGTTTTTCCTTTTCCTTCTACCTACGGGATATTTTTTTCTTGCTCACCTCCCGCACAAAGGAATCCAGCCAGGATGAAGAGAGAAGGGAACCCAAGGGGGGGGGGGGGGGGGGGTGTGGAGAAAGAGGGAGATCATGGATGGGGGGGACCCTCTCCCCCAATCTTCCTTTTCCCTTATCGCAGCCAATCCAATACGGCAGTTGTGGGAAAAGGGAAGGAGACCGCGCCCCCCAGTACCATTATGTACGTGTATGTATGTACCTAGAGAGATTATTTTATTCTAACCCCGAAACCACATTTTCTCTCATGTAGGTAGGTACTCACCTCGAACTTATGTAACCTAACCTCCCACGTACGCATCGAGGGAAGGAGAGATCATAACGACTTGATCTAATCTGAGATCCTTCCCGGGCCCGCCTCTTGGCTGCCAGAGATGTTTACATCATTAGGCATGTTGGAGATTGGTTATTTGGGGTGTCGGGTTGGGGAAATTGGGTTAGGTTACATGTAACTAGTATCTGGGTTAGTTAGTTGGGTCTGGATACCTCTGTAGTAGAGAAACGAAGAAAGGAAGGGGAAGCAAAAAAGCAAAAGTCGAATCCGACAAACTCAGGTTTTGACGTGGGATGAGTCCTACTACTCTATGTACTCTCGCCGCTCCCTTGCCTTAGCTAGCCCATCCTGAGTTTCTGTGTCTCGTTCTTGTTTTTTTTTCTCTCTGCTCTAGTTTGCTGTGGTCGCCCCACGGGTCGTCCCGTTACGGTGGTGGGTGGTGGTTGCGGGTGGGTTGGCCCGCATGGGGGTCACTTCCACATTCTTTTACGACATTCCGAATAGCAGGCGGAAAAAAAATAATTTACAGCCCGAGGGGGGGGTCCAGTCCGGTTCTAGCTGGTCTTTTTCTTTGCTTCTACTCGCGCGAGTAAGTACTGCATGATGATAATATTGAGCTTCCTACCTACCGCAGTATTTGAGAAAATTCGTTGCGCTGCAGCAGGGGTATTTTCTACAAAAACTTGCATATTGACGTCCAAATACTGCCTCTGGTTGGCTTATACCCCTGCTGAGGCGCAACGAATATTCACAAATACAGCGGTACCATACTCCTGGCTTATGGGATTTGCATTTTGTCGCCCACCATCATCTAGAGTATGTGACATTTTTCCCCACGCTAGGATAGATGATGCTGTATTAGGACCCTATGGAGTGTAGGGTGGTAACTGTAGGTAGTACCCACCATTTCCCGAGAGTACTACACACCTACCTTCCTACCTAGCCTATCTTCCGTGATCTAAGAAGGGGTCCCCACATCTTTTCTATCCTATCCAATCCTAATGTAATTGTATGGTGGGGAGAGATGGAGAGCAGGTACTATTATATCTTACCTCCCTCTCCCTCCCCCGCCTCTCATCCCTTGTTTTTGGTTTTTTGGTTTTCAGGACCTAGTTGGTCTATCTATCAGTTTGTTCAGCCCAAAGCAAGGGAGATAAAGACCTAGAGCCCCAAGATAAATACCCGGAGGAGGGAACCCTGAGCCTGAACCCAAGATCGAGGAGATAAATATTACATCAAAATACCAACTCGAGTCAGTCAGTCAGTTATTCAGTCGAGTCAGTATAAGACTATTATTCTGTGTTGGGATATATATATATCAACCTCATATCGATAAATATAAGAACCGGCCCACCCACTCACCTACCTGGATACACATTGCCATACCTACCTCACCTCACATACTCATATATCTACCTACCTGCAACACATTAGCACTTTACTTCACTTCACCTAAGCTTCACAATACATACTCACCGCAAAGATGAACACTCTAAATACAATCAATCCCCATTACCACCTACCGCACCGCGCACCAGTGCCCGCACCCTTCCCGGCCTACCCAATCACCCACATGCCACGCCGTATGCTTCCCACTGGTGACTGCGGCTTTGTTGTCTACTGCGCGGACCCCCTTCCACCTTTCGTCTTCAACGCGGCCCAATCAGTGCGCTGCCAGTGCCGTAGTTACTGGCCAAACCCGCACACACCCGACCTGTGCGCTTGTGGGCACCATGCCTGCTATCATTCAAGTACGCCGCAACAGAGTACTACTACTGCCCCTCCTGCACCAACCCCGGCACCTCCAGCACCTAGCAGCCCGAGCAGTGTGTTGACAATGGGCGCAGTTGCAAGCCTGATGAAGCGGATATCGCAGCTAGAGCAGGAGCTCGAGGCACAGCGGGAGCGAGAGTTGAAGAGGGAGTCACAGTCACGGCTACAGTCGGGGCCCGAGATGAAGGAGGTTGTATATGGGCTGCGCGGGATCGACGAGAAGGTTGATGAGTTGCTAGAACGGATGGACGAGGCCGAAGAGCGGTTGAGCGGCGCAGAAAGGATTGGGGTTGAGTTTGAGGGGAGATTAAACGAATTGGAGGTTAGAGCAGACGAGATTGAGGATGATGTTACAGGCTTAGTGAGGCAGGACGAGGAGGATGAGGAGGAAGAGGAGCGAGAAAGGTTTGAGAAGAAGGAAACGGTGAGGAATATGGAAATAGAGACAGAGTCGGGGTCGGAGTCGGAGTCAGAGACTGGAGGGAATGCGGCGGTAAAGGTGGAGCCAGTGACCGCAACGGCGACTGGAGGAAGAATGGCCGAGAAAGTTGTTGATACAAAGGCGGCGGCGGCGACAACAGCAGCCAAGAGTGCGGCGATAACAACCGCGTGCATTATCCTCGCACAGCCGCCATTCAACAAGACATTCTCCCTGAAGCGCCGGAGTTCTGACAGCAACCTCCTTCTCGTCGAGCACTCGAGCCATCCGGCGGCCAAACGGATACGGTGCCAGTCTAGTGGCGGTAATATTTCCGCATAGGCTCTCCGCTTCCTCCTCATTGTTTTTTTATATATTCTTTACGGAGTCGTGAAATGTAAACCAGGGCAGGCGTTTTGGTTTGGTGTATTTGTTTTTTTTTGTTTTTAGTTAGCCTGCTGTTTACCATATCATTGTGTATTTTATCTTTATGGAGTAGGGGGGCGTTTCTTATGGGAGCGTGGGTTTTTTGTTTTTTTTTGTTTACATTTTTATAAGCTTGTGTAGCTTTCAGATTACCTGTTATTACTCGGAGTTTGAGTCAGGCAGTAGTGGTCCATTTTTTTGGTTCCATGATGATCCATGATTTTTGTATCTATTTCATTGTTACTACCCCCCTCTTCACATCATCCACAGCAGCAATATCGGGAGGGAGAGAAGGAGAGAGAAAGGAAATGAATCCAAAGATGATTGCTTTTGAGAGCCTGAAAGAAAGAAATAAAGCAAATCCCTTGGCCATGATATGGATAGAGTACATGTATGGTTCCGCGTCTGGTGTGGTGTGATGTGGTGTGGTGTGGTAAGGTATTCCGCTCCCCCTCCCTCTTCCAAGAAAAGAAAGAAAGAAAAGTTCACCCCCAAGGTGCTGCTTTGCGGGTGTGCAATCAGTCAGAGTGAGGGTGATGAGCAGTGAAGGGCTGAAAAGACCTGAAGTGAAGTTATGATGGCAGTTGGAAGCCTTCGGCCAGGGAAAAGTGACTAGACGTACCTGTTGACCAAATAATCGACACCGCCGCCACTCATGATCAACATAGCAACAGCAACTAGCAACGCAAAATTGGCAACGAGTGATACCCCATGATCCGCAACCCACGACCGTGTTTGTCTCACATTGCCGCCCACGCGCCAGGTAATTTTCCGGAACTACGTTGGCTGTCTGCCTACTCTAGATCAACAAAGCAGAGCAAAGCATCTGTCAGAGATATCGATTCCGGGCTCTGAAACCGACCTTCGGGATTTGGGTATTATATTAATTGAGACATCGACCCCCCCCCCCAAAAAACCTGCGCCGGCCGGCCGCCCAACCCTTCTTCACGTGTATGTGTGTAGAAAGTGCAATAGGTAGATAATAGCTAGGTTGAAATAAACCCCGCTGTATTCCGTAAATTTTACTCTAGCTTCTGGCTCTTTTTATTATTCCATTGTGATATATTAACCCGTGGTTTTCGTTTCGTAATCTACTAGCGAGGGGGTGTGAGTACAGCAATGGGGGTGGTACATAGCTGGTACAAGTGTGAGTAGAGAGGGACTGTACATAGGAAATACACACATACATATTTGGGGGCTAGCGTAACATTGTGGTTACGTTACAAAGTAGATAGATAGAGAGAAGAGCAGATCAGCATGCGCAGGCAGTGAGGTAAGTGAGTACCGCGTAGAGAGGGAGAGACAGACAGCGCCAGATTGAAACCAAGCATTCACAGCCCGTCCCCATCGCACGCACCCCTTCCCTAACCACATGTAGCCCATCGTCTTGCACCTCACCTCTCTTCCACAACCACAATTGAACCACAACCACTCACTAAAAACACAAGCAAGCATCAGCCAAACCCGCACCCGCACTCACTAGACGGCGCCCCAAAATATCCCCCACCACCACACACAACTAACACCAAAAAAATAACCCACATTTTCTTCCCACCAGCGAGTACATAATTCCGGCCCCAGTTCCCCGGTCTTAGAGGGAGCGGGGGGGTGGGTGGGTGTTCTGGTTCTAGAGTATATACGTAAGTAAGTAAGATGTAAGTACTTCCATGTAGTCGTAGAGAGAGAAGATCTGAGAGTCCACAAGCACAACCACAAGCGCCCGGAATTCCTATTCTAGAGCTAGCTGTTCCCCCCACTGAACTGGACTGAGTGGTCTAAGCTTTCACACAGGTACACACATCCAGAGAGACACACACAATATTCACAACCCCCTCTTAATCCTCACGCCCCCCCACTTGTTTCTCCGTGCTTGCGTTGGGCCGAACGGTAGATGATAGATATTACCAGACCCCCTGAAACTTCCTCTGGCTGAACTGGAACTACACGTGCAAAAAGCACAGACTGACTCTGCCACTCCACCTGCTCTATGACCGCGGTCCATCGATATGATCCTCTCACGCCCACCCTCACCCTCATTCATCAGCGGTATCAGCCTCACCCGGCCGCTCCAAAATAGACAAACAAACAACCTCGAGCTCCCTCACTAGCCAGCAAGCCAAAATGCGGAAAAATAAAATAAAAAAGAACCACAGACCCGATTCTCTAGCCTCTCTCACTCCACGATATCCACCCGCCCGTCCGTCCGGGGTACTCCAACCCACAATCCTTCCTCCTACCCCCGGCGGAGATAAAGAAGTACCTAACTACCTGTCACGCTACGAGCTAATCTAAAAGTCTTCCGGTCTGATTCGCAATCGGGCCAGGTGGAATGGGGGAGAGCGATTGATATCGTTACGTCTAGTATCCCGGCCCCCCGGGGGGGGGGGGTGGAGGTGGGAGGTGAGGGAAATAACGCAGGTTCTTTTTTTCTTTCTGTTCGGAGTCTATGTAGGTACATACATGGGATGAACCTTTAACTTGTCGATAGACTAACTAGCTAGAAATATGGGGTGCGCGTAGATGTGGTAAGTGGTGATGTGTTGAAGTGGTCCCCCCGTCCCGGGCGGAAATACATACATACGGTTCTAGTAGGGAGAGCTAGATTTCACATCTCGAAGTGCAAAGGCCATCTTGACAGTGGGATAGAGCAGACAGGTACACGCATATATCGAGGTGATATATCGAGGCGAAGTAGAGTACATTATCCACTCACTCATCGTCCTTCCACCATGCATAGCACTCTACTCTAAATTCTCTAATCCCTTCTACATACACACATGCGTAACTACATGTACCAAGGGAAGGGGCAAGAACAGACGTTCCACGATCCACGATCCAATTGCCCAGCAGAAGAAAAGCAGTTGTGTCACATCGCACAAACTCTATGCTATCTAGATAACCAGATGATCTTGACGAAAAAACAAAAAAAAAAACCGCTCTCCCACGATCCAATCAGAACCGACAACAACTACAGACGACAAGTGCTGATATCACATCGTCATCCAGACTCCTGGTCACATCATATCACTTCCATCTACCATGGGCATGTTCTGTTCTCTGTGCCTACATACATCCTACATACATCCTACATACATCCATTCTACATCGTATCTCGCATCCCCACCTCCCCACCCTCCATTTCCTCATGCCCGGAAAAACTCCCCCCCCCCCCACTAAATTCGCTGCATATGCACCCCATGGTTGTTATTTTTACATACTTCACTAGAGCATTCGTTTTTTTTGTTTTATTTTTCTTGCTAGACGAGACGGGACAAGACGAGACGAGACGATGAATTGATTGAAACGAGACGGTAGAGTTCCCTGGAACTTTCACCCGCCTACTCCGGAAACTCAGAGGCAGCCAGAGGTAGGCACCCTAAGATTTTTCCTTTTCCATTTCCTTTTTTCCCCAGAGATACACGGGCAGACAAGAAAAAGAAGACAAAGATAGAAGACCCAATACCATGCAACCCCGGTCCCCTGAAACCCAAAAAAACAAACCGTAGATACCGATAAAAAGATAGAGAATGATCAACATGGGGCAAAAAAGTTCCCCGAAACAAAAGTTATTCATACAATCGTTAACTGGTAGAGTAGAAAGTAGCGTAAATAGAAGAACTAGAGACTATAGGGTCAATAGTTAAAGCCTACCACCGAGTAAAGATATAAAAGAAAGTAAGTAAGGAATGAACTGTGGTATAGTAAGAAAAGAACTGTGGTATAGTAAGGAATGGACAGTGGTATAAGTTAACTTGAAATCGACTAGAAGAGAAACCAGCTCAAAATTGGAACGGTATGACAGACAACAAATCCGGTTTTTTTTTTCGTTCCCCCCCGCATGATAACGCCGTATTCAACCCTACTCAGAATAAAGAAGGAAAATGTCCAGAAGGAAAGTCCAAACTACAACCTACATAAATAGGTATGAATAAGTAAAAATATATAATCCCCCAACTCTAAGAAAGAGCGAAGGCAAGAAAGCGGTTTTCTACGCCTTTCCTTGGATAGCGATATGAACCGCTAAACCTTGAGAATGGGTAGGGAGGCTCGAGAAGCAATGAACATTCACCGGATATTTTGTTACGACGCCCGATTGCGGTAAAGGTTCATGAATCTCTCGAGCCGTATTCGAGGAACACCAACTGTTAATGCATCTAACAATATAGGCCACCACAAACCATTTAAGATCTGTCAGTTTTCTATGCACCCCAATCACTCTCGGCTATTCGCCCATTCATGTGGAATTTGCCAATCTTTTCAAAACCTCTGTACGTACGTAATATCCCACTGATCAGTTTTGCTATCCATCGGGGTCTGTGCCAAAAAAAAAATACGAAAAGTCGCAACATACCGTGTCAAATCAATGCCGTGCAAATCACCCATGCCATCTTCATCTTCATCCTCTTCCTTCAAATCAGGTACAAGCTGAGGTCCAGCTCCCAGCCGGAATCCTTTTCCTCTTTCCTTCAACGGACTTGCCAGCTCCCTAACACGATGCTCCTTATCATCCCGCCCAACAGCAGGCGGCGGCGAGGAACTGTGCAGGTCCTTCAGAGGACTATAGTCGCTGGGTTTAGCTGGCGTCGATCCGAAATGTATATACTTCCAGAACGGCGCCGGAGAGCTCGTGGGCAGGTATGAACTGGGAAGCTGTCCAGTAGAAGGAGGTGCGAGACGTGGGTGCTGCCTCTGAGGTGCGGGAGTCATGGCGGTCACTGCTGGATTATCATCGGCATACTGAGAGTTTTGTGACGGAGATGGTGGTATATAATTGACGTCCCCGCGAACCGGTGAATCATGATGATGATGGTTTTGCGCTGATGAAATCATCTCGTTTATGTTTGCGGGCTGTATAAGACTCGCACGGCGGGTATGATGTGAGTCTTTGGTGTCAACTAGTGGCTTATCAAGACTGCGAAGAGCCGGAAGAGTTGGCAGCCTGGACCCGCGATCTGGGGTATACGCTTCAAGTGGTGCAACACGATATGAGGTGATGGGCGGAGGCGTGACAGATCGTGGAGATCGTTTGATAGTGGGATACTTCATATTAAGATCCTGGGAGTCTTCAAGTCTCAATCCTTGGGAAGAACTCTGGGCAAGTGGTTGCCCTATTGATTGCTGCAATTGCGACGAGGCGGTCTTTACATTTAGATTAGGTTTAGGAGAGGATGGTGAATTTGGAACAGAATTCTGGCGACCAGGCCCAGCTTTGGGTGGTTTTTGGAGCTTCTTTATGTATTCATCACGATGTTCTGGAAGAAGCTCCCATTTCATCCCTTTGCCCGGCTCGTCGGTACGACGAGGGATTTTCCTAAAGGCTTTGTTGAGTGATAGATTATGACGAATTGAATTCTATATAATTATATTTAGTACGCCGACTTTATTGAGGATAATGATATAACTGACCTGCCAACCCGTATTTGAATGACGATAAAATGCATATTTATCCTGAATATGGTGGTAAATACTCGACAAAGTCAATTGTTCTCCCTCACTTGAGAGGATCGCTTGTGCAATCATTAAGGCATAACTAAAGGGCGGCTTAACATCTTTCATCGCGTCACTTGCATAATCGACATCTTCAGTACTCTCAAGAACAAGGCCGCGATGGTATGATGGAATATTCTCCCGCTTGACCATAATATCAGGCATCGAGACTGGATCAGTCGAAATCGACGGCAACACCAGCTGGGATGACGAAGGCCTGGCATTTTGAGAAGAAGATAACGCCGAAGTGTCATAACAGGATTCATTTGTCTGTGTTGGAAGGGGTGTTGGATCGTCCTCGAGGGGGAATTGCAGCACTTTTAAACGACGGAGAACTGATGGGGCGATATTGATAGCAGTGTCTGGAAGAACAAACATCATCTGCACACCACCAATTTCAATGATATTCCCACTGCGGAGTACTATCGTCGAGTCCTTTTTGTAACACTCGTCATCCACTTTAAGTCCATTCCTTCCAATTACTTGCAATCGCCAACTGTATCCGTTTTGATCATAACTAATTGTAGCGTGGTTCCTTGATACCAACTTGCTTGGTCCCAAGTCGATATGGACAACCTCATCAGGTTTCGCATGAGGGGGAGGTGTAGGTGACCCAGCGGCGCCAGCACCGATGGCACGAACATCTGGCGGACGGCCAATGCGGATAACCAATTCCTTTACATAGTAGGTCCACGTAGCACCAGCAACTTTTGCATACGCAGTTATTCCTTGAGTATTTTGGCGGAAGTTCTCATCATTGGCGTGTTGGAGAGCCACCATTGGATTGGGATCTGGCATCGCCAAAGATGCAATAACGGCATTTACATGGTCGGTTTGTAAGAGAGGGGTGGTTTCCTGGATCTCTTGCGGTTCCTGAACCTATGGGTAGATTGTCAGTCAATATGAACCAGTACGTCATTATCATTGTCTCACACCAGGTTACAGGTATTTTGTTTGTTTGAGGATGAAGATCATGGTGATCCGTTTAGTTTGATCGGCAGGTTGAAACGTGGGGTAGTGAAAGTGAATACCTTGCGTCTCTTGTTCCGCGGTCGCGATGGAGAAGAATCTGGCATTTCATGATCTGGCGTAGAACCGGCGCGCCGAGCCCGAGTCCGACGGTTAGTCGAAGGTGGCATCGCAGGTACGCAACCGTTGCCTATTGATGGGAGAGGGGAGGGGAAGAAGTTGATGCTTCTTGGGGGGGCTCAACGTGTGTCTCTGTGGTCGTAGTGCATGGGTTAGTGGGCTTTGCATAACTCGTGACTCTCAATTCATAGCTAGGATAAGGCCACTTTATGCGAAGGGATGCAGACCAAGTGCAGTAGCACCGATATCGGCAGCAGCAGCACGGCAACGTCAAACGAGCACCACGAGATAGAGTGATGGCGATAAGGGACAAGAAAAGTGTATGTGCGTACATACCGACGAGGTTATCTTTATATTATTTATATGCTAGTTATCTTGAAGTGGGGGAGGGGTTGTGGGGTTGTGGGGTTGTGGGATCCACAGCTTGGTGCAGCAGAGTGTCAAAGCGTGCGATGAGATGAGGTGCGCGAGTGTGCTGTTTTCGGGCGGCGGCGGGGAGGAGTTGTTGGTGGTGGTGGTGGTGGTGGTGGTGGTGGTGGTGGTTGAGTAGTCGTTGTCGTCTTGGTGTTCGTCTTGTGTACCGTCGTGGGTGGGCAAAGGCTGACTGCACAGTATTACACCGTGATGGGCGGCGGACGCGGTGTTTGAGTCGATGCGGCGAGTGGCGTCGCAGCAGGCTGTCACAACAATGTCCCGCAACGCCAAGACTCCTTGTCAATCATTATAATGATGGGGCTTTCTTTTACTCACTGACTTGGTACTTTACAATCTTCACAGAGGAAATGAGAATAGTTTATCTTGGAGGTTATTTCCATTTCTTGTTCAGCCAATTAGTTGTATAGCGTCCCTATTTTTACCTTGGAGCGTTACGTTACGATATGTTACGAAGAATCTCCAAGCCGAAACCTGCGCGCAAATTCCAGACCTTGCGCATTCCGCACTTAATACAAGCACTCCTTTGCCTTGCTCCATGCCCATCGCCCCTCAAGAATCCACACAACACACACAACTCAACGGAAAAAAGAAAGGAAGGAGAAACAAACGACAAATTGCGTCATTCGAACTGCGCCGCCCATAACGGCATAGCGTGGAGCGTGGTTACGCCAACCGAAACGATTGACAAGCGTGTCATGGGTATGTACGGATCATCCGCTGGTGGAAAAACGATTTTCCACTCCACAAGGGCACGGACTTCTTGACTCTTGAGGTGCAAAACAAAACAAAAAAACGTTCACCAAAACGTTTGTTGACCCTGTTAGTGACATGTGGCAAAGCTTGAAAGCGTGCTAACTGAGACTAGGATGTGTGTAAGTGTTTTCAGGTGAACCTTTTAGGTCTTCAAAGGGCTTTCGACCAATGCACCTACAACACTTTACTCCTCCAACCTTAATTTCTCCCCACAGAATTTACGGCTGTTCCCCTAATATCAAGAAATCAGTTGTAAACCGCCAAGTTCAAAGCGAATATCAAGTTGAAGTTGCAATGTCTTTCACGTTTCTTCTCAAGCGTCAGCTCGGCTTAAATTTATCGATACTTGATTGGCCACAAGCTTCGTTGGAAGGGAAATCAGTATCACAAAAGCCAGGAGCATACATACTCTAGATCTTTTCTATCTATAACCTTCTATCAATTGTCTATCGACAATAAAGATTCGTCGCTGGAATAGAGAATCAGTCACAGAGACGGAGATCTTGCAAACGAAAGAAAAGAGAAAGGGGTGGAGATGATTCGTTGGTTTCCATCCAGGCATACAGGCCAATTATGATGGAAATTGTGGATTTTAGCGGAATCACAAAGCCCTTGATCTCCGAGTATCAGTGTAGAAACTCTTTGCTGAGTTGAGGGCTGATGGTCTTTTGAATCCTAGGAAGAATGACTATTGAGCACTGGTGCTCCCTATGAGAATAAGAACGAGCTCGTTATAAGATGGGATTGTTTTCGTCGGGTTCAACACTTGCTAACTATCATTTCAACTATGCTTTTTTGGCATTTTATCAAACTTGAGTCATCAGAATTACTCATCTCTACAGATCTGGCTGTTTATATACTACCCGCATCGAAACGTCGCACAAAATAGAACCAGTGCTTCAAGCTGTTGCTGCTTCGCGGCGATTTCGGGGGCTTTATGCTATAGGTACTGTTTAGAGATAGATTCTAAAGAGGACTAGAGTTGGGAAAGGTTGCACCGCTTGTTTATCGCGTCCTCCATCCCACGACCTCCGCTTCAAAGAATCGGAAGGTATTCAGAAACCATGCACACAAAATTAGAGGAAAATTATTGTCCGAGTGCGGGCATTAAAACGAATGTCGATCATAGACTATCACTCACATAAAGGTCACGGCCGATAGGAACAAATATTACGAGTTTGGGCTCAAAACATGGTGCAAGGCGGGCACATTCCTCCGGATCGCTCCCAAAAGGCACATATGAACACTAAATGTATGCGGGTCCTCGACGAGCTCTCCCAGGCTCTGCCCTTCAGTCGAATTTCACCTCAGTCAACGAAACACGGACTTTTATTTGGCCAACATTATCTTTATGCCAACTAAAAGTTTTAGGTTAGCTTCCTACTTTCCTTGTAAAAATACTTTTCCTATATGTCGATCCTTTCTCTTTTACATTTATTTGGGGATCCGTCGGCCCGTGTACACGTACTCTTAAATATGACTGGATAGATTTAATTACGGGCCGTTTACTGAATATATATAGACATCCCCTTAGATTTTATCCGTACACCGCTACCGAGAAGAAGAGCAAATATACATACCTGCCACTTATCATACTCAATAATATCTCGGTCAACATCGAGATTAGCTACTCTAATTCTAGAGAATCCCGAGATTCTGGTTCTGGTTCTGTCCCTGCAGGCTGCGCGGTTCCAGAAGAGGCAGTATCATATTTAAGTGAGAAAACAATCGCCGATTGGTCTCGTCATAGCACATATCTGAGTGAATGAATGTGTGTGCTCTAGCTATATTGATGGGAATATATTAGGAACTTGGCCCCTCGCACTGACATTCCAGCCTTGATAAGACGATCTGCGCCAATAAAGTTGTTAGAATCATAGCTGGTCTGTTCGTGCAAAGATTCTATCGTGTGACGGCAGTCTATATTGAGAAAAATTATTTCCAAGGCCAGATAAACAAGAATATTTTTCATGGGACGCACAACGCCGCCACTATTCTTCGTCATTGGTGCTCGATGCAGGAGCTGAATTTTACTGCACTCACGAGTTGCTATACTGACTCGTGGTCAGTCATTCACCACTTTCAATCCCTGGGCACAGATATGTATGTCGTGAAGATGATGTTATTATGTGTCGAGTCTAACACAAATAATAAAACGAGTCAGGTTTTAGATCATAAATATCTCGTTTACAAACTCCAATATCTGATTACTACATTTAGCTCAGAGTCTCGATCCGATCGACACCCGCCCTCTCTTTCGCTTTCCAAAGCTTACCCTTCGTACAAACTTCTAATCTGAAAACCAGCCGTACGGTAACTAATAAAAGAAAGGTTCGGGACACCTGGCCAATGAAGAGCAGCTTCAAAGTCGGTAACGCGTTCAGATACTACAGAGGAAGGTGTAATGACATTTGGGAAATAGCCGAGACAAGTGTGTATACGTACTCAGTTGCTACCCCTGGCAATTATCTACTAATGCCAGGTGTGGTATTGATAGTCAGAGGACTAAATTGTTGACTTGACCTCTCCCCGACCTCTTACATTCCATGCCTTCTTCGCTGGCAAGGACGACTTTGAGTTGGTCGACATGCACGACATAGCCTCCTTGACAGAAACGCAATACATATGGGAGTGCTGGCCAAGGAAAGTCATTAAATTGGTAGAGTAATAGGTGAAATGTTACTGCATGATCCAAGTTGTCTTGGTGCCAACACAGAATTTCTTTTTTCAAACAAAAGCGTACGTACTCCAAGTGTGTACGCTTGACGGGACCCCCACTCACTGTTACCTAAGTCGTCAAAAGGAATTGACCTGGGTCAGTGAGTTACTATATTCCTCGCTATCGATCAATGCAGCATTGTGGCGTTTACAGAAGGATCTTCAGGGCGGTGGAAATTAAGAAATGGCAGAGGAGGTGGGGGCAGAAGATAAAATCAGATGCCGGTACATGATTGGATTGGACTGGATATACCTCCGGAATCTCGGAGATCTCGGGCCTTCAATCGTGTGTCGATCAGAATGTTCACGACGATTCATCTGCATAAATCCGACTGGGGGAGGAAGTCGATTTAGAGAACACGAAAAAAGTCTTTTGGGATACTGGCGTGATGATCCTTCCCTTGAGAGAGAGTGATAGATGGAGCAGGAGCTTCCATGCGTATGTATATGTGCCGGTTGTTAAATCCGGTACACATGAGGGTATCCACCGGTTAAGGCTAAGAAATTGGGTAGATGTGGTGTCAGAGAAGCACTTTGAGCTTGCTCCACTTTCATTGACATGCAGGTATGAAGGCGGGTAGATGGTAGATCGACACGGAAGTCTAGACTATCCTACGCTCTCTGCCGGTTTACGTTTGTTCTGTATGGGGTCTATAAAATGCATAACAAGTACATGTACTAAAGGCATGTGGCTAGGTACCAGCCGTTATATACATCTACCGATGTGTTATGCGTTTAAAGATCACATGAGTTATATACAATGTAAGCAACTAACCATTTTGAGATCTACGTGTCTTATTATAAGGCGTTGTGAAAAATCATTCAGCTTAATACCTAAAACAACCTGTACTCACTCGGAAGGAATCTTCGGTTTGTCATGGAGTAGTAAGAAAGCCACAGTGTTTCTCAGAGGTTTTGCTTACTCTAAGTATCAAATTGCAAAGTTAAGATTCCATTAAGAGGACACTCCCGTAACAGATATCGTAAACCGCCCCGAAGTGAAACCTTCATGGTTTCCTCCCCCGCAAAAGCATTTATCCGGGGAAGGAGAAACTAGCCTATAGCTAGCGTCGGAAAAGTAGCTGTCTCATATACAGATTATCTGATAGCCGGACAACGTCCGTAACTTGAGACACGAACGGGTGCCCCGAGTGTATTTCGTATGTATACCTAACTCAGGGCCGAATCACTGTTCTCCGGGTTGATCATCTAGTTTTTCCTACAATGGATCAAGAGACAGAATGCTTCGCATAAGCACCCCTACATGCAGCTGTGCTCCTCCGGATGGACAGAACAACACGTCAATCCGTCCTGCAGAGCTCGGAATAACCTTAACTCATGCGCATGGTTTTTCCGAGCCGGGTATCGCAAGACATGTTGTCACTTCTGTTTTGGAACAGAAGGCGTTTCCGAGATGAAAGGTCGTATGTAGCAGGGGTTGACGTTTTGAGGCTGAGTACATGTATCTTCTAGTAGAAGGATGATGACGAAAGAGAGCATATATGGGTACCGTGGGATTCTGTTCTGCAGCTACAGGGTCACGCACTGTATCCGCTGGTTCAGGTATCGTTTGAGTATGGGCTTGCAAGGTTAGCCATGGATGGGTGTGTTTTGTTTGTGCAGCGTGGTTGAGATCCATCTGAACTTGAGTTAAGTGCCTCCGCCGTAGGGTAACTTATATAACCACGAGTAGATCAGCAGAGCAATGCAACAGCTGTGCCAATGTTCTGTTCTAGAAGCGCAATATAAACCTCCCCCTCTGTGACGTAGCAGCGGCAGTGGTTTAATCAAAAGTAGGTAAAGTCACCTACAGAGATTCCCTGGTATCAAGATATTATATGCCAAGTACATGTATGTATGCCCAGAAAAGTAGAGTAGAGTAAAAACAGAGAGATCGCCCGCCCCCGGTACACTTCATGCACTCCTCAGTCGATGAATTCAGTGACCTACATGCAGAGCGAGTCTCCCTCCTCGCCCATACGAACTGGTTCAAGTCACGGAATAGTGTGTCCTCGCACATCTCCGAGAAGAACTCCGTACTGGTACATGCATAGGACGGCTAGCTCCAACGCCAAAAAACCCAACATCTACCGTACACGGTACACACTTAGCTGGCATGTGAGACATTGCTAGATACCTTAGTAGTCTGGTTAACGTTCTTCTTTCTTGGCCTTCTGGAAGCAAGGGTACGGGGAGTGGTCGGGAAAACCAGCAGATCCGGCGTGTTCCGGGATCGTGAAAACGTTGAGTTGAAAAGGCTTGGCTTGGCTGCATCGGAGAGAGTGTGATCCCTGCAAGCCAGCACGATCCCAGGAACGTGGGGGCTGTTAAACCCTAACCTAGAAGACGATTGTTTTATGCCTACATGTAGGTACATACAATGTATATTTTAGATGCATGGGTTTTGCTTGCTCAAGCATTGTTAAATGTTCTTATAGGCAACTGAGTAATTTCAGTTGTATTTACATAGATAGTGCCACCCTGAAAAGCCACCTCTCCATAGGTTCATCCGAAACAGAACCCTCCTAACAATCTTACATGAGGGATCACTCGTTTAATGTGGACCCTTAAACTCTTGGTTGCCAAGCGACTGTCTAGCCGATATAGGGAGGCATCGAGCATTAATAATTGTGACGAGTGATATCTCATGATACAATTCCCTTGGCAATCTCGCCAGGTTCCACACATGGACTTGGCTTTTCCCTAGCAACAACTTAGCGAACTTTAATATCCCGAGATTGATAATTACCCCTCAAGCGGTTCAACGCGGGGCATAATCACCGAGATCATAGCATTTTGTCCTCGTATCGTGCGAGTCACATCGGCCGAGAAATGGGTTCCTGCGCACTTCTTGTGTTTATTACACTGCACCTCCCTATTCAACCGTTGACATTAATTGACTAAAGGGGAGCCAAGGTGATAATATATTATCAATCGTATGATGGTGATGCCGCCCAGGAAAGTACTTTTAGATAAATCGAAATCTCTTAAGCCGTATTTGTTACCCGTTGCATGTAGCCGTACGTCTATTTCAGGAGAGAACCCGCATGTCTTGACGGCTTGGGGTATACGCGTCCCGAATTTTGCTTTTTTTTCTTCTTCCTCTTCCCTTTACTCGTCGCGATATCGGTCCGCGATTTCGCATTTGTTTTGAGACCCTGTATTTCTAAGTGAAGTAGTACGGCATAATTTTTGGCTAGACTGAAGAGGGTGATTTTTGCCGCCAGTGCCTATGAGGTCAACATGCTGCTAATGAAAATTGCTTTTTTTATATTTCATGCTGATTATTCTTTCCCATGTGTGTGGGATTTGAAGGGACCGCGAATTCCCAGTGATTGGATGAACAAGATGGCATCGATTATGTTGGTAATCGCGAGCAAGACAAAGATGTGCATAGCCTCGGGAGTCGGACTCGGTAGTGGGTTCACCGGTCGGGGTTTTGATGTGGGGTATGAATTTGCGAGACCTGTGGTAGGAGGTTGATGAGAGTTACCCGTTTGGCTTGGCATGTGCACTTCTCTAACACCAGTCAACACTTTGAAGATATGAAAGTAAAAAGAAAAAAGACAGATAAGATAACACACATAGTTTACTGCTAGTTTTTGTCCCTGATCGGTTGTGGACTTCGAACTATTGTTAACGACCGATGAAGTGGTATAGACATGAGTTATGGGGCTACTAAGAGGGTGAAAGTCGAGATGGAAGTCTCAGACTCATGAGGGACGGTGAAGTGTAGTCATGACGAAGAGGTATTATTTGTGAGGATAGGTGTCCCGTGGGTTTAATTAGCTTATGCCTTGCTGTCGATTGTCTGGGGCCAAAGATGAGAAATACGAAGGCCTTTGAGACTCGCATGGACAGGTAGCCTCATATCAGCACTAGTGTTCCACATATATAACGCTCATTTGGCAGCGATTGACAAACAAGCATCGAGTCACTAATGGCATGTCAGGGCGTGTCAATCCCCTCATCCCTTTTAGTTTTAGCAACCAGTCATAATATCACAGAACGCCAAAGTAGCTCCTTGATTATTGATTATCGAGGAATGTAGGCATCTTTCCTATAGGCCTAGCGGATATCATTTCTAATGGCGATTATAAGATCTAAGACAGAACAAGCCGAGTATGGGTACTATTACATGATCGGATAATAACTGGCCGACATCAGAGATATTTTTTGGGATACGGAGGAGGGTCTCGATGCTCCGCCCCCCTCTTTCGTCCTTTGTGGTTAGGCGTAGGGGGCTCGTACACCCAAGTGGTCAATGTCAGACTTCATTTGAGATTAACGGGCCGGTGGGCAAAAGCTTAGCCAACACAAGCGAAGGGCCAAGCAACCCGTCTAAACATGGAGAAGGGTCCCAGTGGAGTGGAACCATGTGCGGAGTGAAGTGGAAGGGGGGGGGGGGGGGCAAAAGGGCTCGGAGGATCATTACAGCCTACAGGAGCTGAGCTGAAAGTCGTCGTAATGTGATGCTGTGATGACGAGGCCTGTCCAAATACCAGGTCCCTGAAACTGCTCACTGCTCATATTGTTTAGACACCTAGGCAGAGTTTTATTGCTCCCTGAATTGGGCAACTACATAAAGTGTTTTAAGGGAAACGACCACTGATGTTTTAGAGATCGGTCGGTAGTACTTGGATGGATATGGCGGTTTCAATACCCGAGACTGAGGTTTGGACCAAATACCGCTTCGCCCCAATGCTTAGGGGGTATAAAATGCGCATTGTTATATTATTTGGGCACACGCAGAAGGCTTGTTTGATACCAGATCTGCGGTCGGTGTGTTTAACCATACCGCATTGATCCATGCTCGTGTGATGTGAAAAAGCTTGACTTCTTATCAACTGCAGACTGCATGAAAGTGCAGAAACGGCTGCGAGTGACTCTCATGGGTTGTCTGATGAGCACACTCTATAACAAGTAATTGGGACACCTGTACCATTCACTCTTCTAATAATGTCAATAGATCATTTTTGTATCTCGAGAGGTGCAAGTACATACGGTAATATTAACCTCACCATTCACGCATCGCCCAGGGGTGATCTGTCTGGCGTAGTGAAAGATATTGGGCGCTAGTTCGGCCAGAACACCGTCCTGGACCTGAGAAGTTGCGTGTCACACCCACTAGACTACTGCAAACCCAGAAAAAACAATGATAGTTAGTTGAGGGACTTTCCTGCTTTGCAAATTAGGCGCTTGAGACGAGACTAAACTGCCGTCTCACATCGGTGGTCTCCCACATTTTAGGTTTTCTCGATACTTAACTTCGAAAACCCCGCAGGATGCGCGCAGGTGGCCCTTACATGCCATTCTTTTCCCTGGGCTCCTGAGATACACGTATTTACACACAGTACACAGTAGGTGACGGTTGTGATGTTGTTGACCTATTTGCATCAGCCTTGAGCCAACTACCAACTTTGAAGCGACATTCTCCAAAAGAAATTAGAGCCCGGCGTTAAGAGCCCACGCCGGCCGAAGGTGATCGGGGATTGGAGGTTTGGAGCTTACCGAACGGTGACAAAGACGGTCGATATGGTTTTAGGCTGATCCACTGTATCAGCCGTAGATTACATGCAGCTACATAGAGTACAGTCGCGGCAGGCGTTGACAAGCTTTCAGGCGCGGCGGTTTTCTCGCGTGGGGCATGGGTTCCCCCCATGCCATGGAAACGGGATCCCTCCTCAAATCGATTAATCGGTTCTTGGGACTCGCAACGACCCCAAGTAACTCCTGTTCATCAATGAGATGTTTATCGAGAGGGCCGATTGACTTTCAAACTGTACCTGCAACTCTCACTGATGCAATCATAATTGACATCTTAAACGCCACACGTGACGGACACTGTTCGCTGCATTGTGCCCTCCATATGCTGTGTGATGTGATGTCATGACCTCCGTAAAATAGACCAAACGGCGGAAGAAATGTTCCTTTGCGTAACCCCAATTGTATCGCCAGGTGAATTACGTCAAAGAATTTCCTTTTCGCCGGGAGGAACCAGGATCCAAAAGCTTACTTGAAGGAAAATTTTCTGATTCGGGGAAGTTTGCGAGAAAATAGATTATTCCTGCTTGTTTCCAATACGAGATTTACGGAGATGCCCTAAGCGGGAGAAACCGATGCGTTCTGAGTTCTGTTGCCGTTATGGGGACCTCAACGAGGTACAAGGTTCTTCTGTTTAGAAATCCACCAGACGCCACCATTTAGTGCTGCATTCACACCCTTTGGTGGAACTACAATTGACGAAGTCCTGTGGTTGGGAGGGTCGAAGCGAAAATTACGCACTGGAAAGGGTTGCAGAAAGGCTCTCTTCTGTCCCCCCCCCCCCCCCCCCCCAAAAGTTGCATCAAAAGGGGGCAGATGACTGGATTCATAAGTGAGTTTTCTTTCATTTCTTGCTGAATTCAAGCGTTTATTTCCTGGGAACTTTCTAGAACATAACGAAGCAGTTTTCATAGACATGGCGAAGGTGATGATCCAATTCTTTGCATGCCGTGAGACTTCCTTCGCGGGAGGGGTTGCCACATCTATCGATGGGCGATAAGATTGATTGCCGCTTGTCACTTGGAACATGCATGGCCTCCGGCCGGACCTGTTGTGACAAGCCCCAGAAAGTAAGAAAGACAAGACTTCTGTACGGTACTGTAGTCTTTCTTTACCTTACCTTATCCTATCATAAGGCAAAGGCCCCTGTAACCACTATTCGCTTGGTGGTCGACCGATGGATGGCGGAGGTATTCTAAGCCCAAATCTGCCTTGTGGGTCCCTTCTTTTTCCACTTCGAGACAAAATAGTGAGAACCTCCAAGACGCCATGGAGGTTCAGTGGATAACCTGTCCTGTCCATCAGGTTCAGTGGATGACCAGTCCTGTCCATCAAAGGTGTGACCCAAGGCCAGATTGAAAAAAGACCCTCGTTCAGACTCTCTAGGCATCACGAATTCTGTCCTGGGTTTGTCTGGTTACATTCTCTATTTTCCGACCGCAGCACTGGGCACGGCTACCAAGGGAGGGCAAAAAAAAAGGATAGCGTACGTCAGAATCCAGGATTTGAATTGTTACTCCCTACACTTTGACTTACCTGCACACAGAAAGGCCGCGGTCGTACATACATAGACCAACAGCACCCTCGTCGCAGAAGGGCATAATAATAGTCAAGCTTTTGATCTGACGCAAAACAAAGCCCGCCAGAGAAAAAGGCACTGCCACCCCACCATACCTCTCAGAGTATTATCCCCTGCTCTCTTCCTAGTACTCAACTCTTCACAAAAACCCCCCTCTTTTCGAACAATATCCCTTTGTCTGTGAGCATACATCCAGGACAATCGGTTTTCGTTGCTTTTACCACTCTCGTTATTGTTGCTGGTGCTGGATGAAAATCAATTTGGACGAGCTGAGCGCGAGAAAGCTGTTCGTTATGGATATGTCTTCGACTTCACATTTGGGATCCACCCACTCGTCGCCCGAGTCCTTTGACGATGATACTGCAATGATGGGAACTGCCAATTGGCAACATATGCCCCCTCCTCCACAAACGGCCCCGCCTTCAGTGGCGGGAAGCAGTGCGACATCGTCTGTACCTACCAAGGCGCCACTACCATTACAGAAACGTAGAAGGGTTACTCGAGCATGCGATGAGTGTCGGCGGAAGAAGATTAAGTGCGACGGGAAACAGCCATGTACACACTGTACAGTCTACAGCTATGGTTTGTGAATTTTCCTATGTTGCCCCCCGTTCCCGGGACGAAGTAGAGCAAGAACTTCTGTTTGACCTGTCATACAACCTTGACCCTTAACTGTACTGGCAAACTGGTAGTCGTAAAAGAACTTTCCACTGATTATTGCTTCTTGGTACCTTTTAGAATGCACATATGACCAACCCTCAAACCGGAGACGAAACCCCGCTCCACAGTACATCGAGGCATTAGAGAACCGACTTCAGCGGACCGAAGCATTGTTGAAGGCAGTACTGCCAGATATCGATGTGAACCACCCTAACTTCGACCTCAATAAGGTTCTGCCGCAGATACAGGAGGCTGCAACGGTCCGCACAGCAAGGCTCGGAATCAATAACAGCACAAATGGTAACGGCACTGGGACAGAAAAGGATTCTCTTCTTGAATCTATGGTAGAAGCAGCAGGGCGTTTAGATATCGATGAGAGTGGACATATGGACTTCCATGGTCACTCATCGGGCATGGCCTTCCTGGCACATTTAAATAACCAATTCGGCGATCTACTAGGCGAGGATGTCAAAGCCTTGAAGAAGATGCGTTCTACTGCTTTCCCCGCAGTTTTTGATTCCCCGCAATCATCTATCAGCTCATCCCCAGAGGCAAGCGCGGCAATAACAGCTATGTTGCCAAAGAAGGAGGTTGCTCTTGTTTTGGTGGATGCATGTCTAGACGATGCTTGTATTCTTATGCGGTTTGTCCACAGGCCGACATTCAACGAACTGATGGACCAAATTTACCAGACAGAACCTGGAAATTACACTGAAAACCAACTTAGCTTCCTACCATTACTATATTTGACATTGGCGGTAGGATGTATCTTTGTCAACGACATGTCTATATACGGGGTTGAGAGCCCGGTTACTGAAGGGTGAGTTAGTTTCCGAAACTAGCAATGCACATGTTTTCTAATCAAACTATTTTCTCATACAGAACCAAATATTTTAGTGCTGGTCGCCGTATGATTGAAATAACTGATTGTCGCGATATCCATTCCATCCAGACCGTCCTCATGATGGTTGTATTTCTTCAATCATCTGCTAGGATGTCAACATGTTATTCATTTGTCGGCATTGCGCTTTCCGCTTCTGTAAGGCTAGGCCTTCATCGATCTTTACCAGGAACAAGCTTTAGTCCTATAGAAAGGGAAATTCGTAAAAGAATATTCTGGACCGTACGGAAAATGGATACATATGTCGGGGCTCTACTGGGGCTTCCGAAAGGTATTGCAGACGAGGATATAGATCAAGAAATACCCGCTGAAGTGGATGACGAGTATATTACCGAGAAGGAAATATTACCACAGCCAGAAGGAATTATGCCTGCGATGGCTGCTGCAAATGCTCATGCTAAATTACTAAAGATTATGGGAAAATTGGTTAAATATATTTATCCCTTGAAAGGAGTTGAGGCTAGTGTGACTGGTAGGAGATTTGGATATAGTGTGAGCTACTCAAAAGTTCATGAAATTGAAAAGGATCTTGGGGATTGGCTAGACGCTCTTCCAATGCAACTAAGACCCGGAGGAGATACGCCGCAGAGTCTACTTAAGTAAGTAATCGCTTTTTTGCTAATGACTCATCAATCTAATAACTCTTTTTAGGGCCCAATTTCTTCTTAAGATGGCATTTGCTCACGTGCAAATGATGCTATATCGCCCGTTTTTACACTATATCTCTCGACCAAAGAACAGAGGTTGCGACGAGCGACCTTACGCCAGTGCCGCCGCATGCGTTAATGTTTCGCGCAAAATTGTTCACACGGCAGATGAAATGAGAAAAAAGGGCATCTTGAATGGCGCCTATTGGTTCAGCATATACACCACTTTCTTTTCCGTCATCACAATGCTGTACTACGTCCTTGAGAATTCCACCGATGTAACATCGTTGGCAATACTGAAGGATGCGGAGATTGGGCGAGACTTATTATTAGGTCTTAAGGAACGAAGCCTAGCTGCAAAGAGGTGTTCGATGGCTCTACAAGTATGTGACGTCCTTTCATGCACGTGATTCAAGTTCTGACATCTTCTAGCCTTTATTTGACAAAGTCCCCCCAAAGATCAAACCAGATCTAGAAAAAGCGAGCCTAGCCAAGAAAAAGCGGGCTAGAGCGGGGTCAAAATCTGGGGATGCCGATCAGTCTGCCACTTGGAGCAACACCTCCCGGACGGTCTCACCTGAAGTTTCAGAATCACCTCAGAACAGGCGCTCAAGAACCTTTCCCGGGTCCCCGGATGTAGACATGAGACGCCAAACGACACCTATGCAAATTCAACGAACAGTGGCTCTAACTCAGGCTCCAGAAGACTTGAATCGTCGAAGCTCATATGAAGTATTTACAACTGCCGAGACTTTCCCTTCTACTCATAGCACTCCAGATCCACAGCCAGTGTCTTTCCAGGCACATCTTTCCGGGAGTGGACTGCCGGATCTCAACGCTTTAATGTTCCCCTCGCCGGACCCTTTCAGCTATAACTACGCACACAATATGAGCCAGCAACAGTATACGAAGACGGAACGCATGCAACAAGACAGCCCTTCATCCCCTGAAAGTATGTTTGGTGCAAACGGGTCACAGGGAAACCCATACGACAGTTTAGAGGTCCAATTGTTCGGCCCTTTACCCCCATACCTCCTACAGGGTCAACCCCAACCAGTTTCGTCGGATGTTCCGACGACAGGGGGTGAACGACCAACACAACACATTGCAGTTGGTAATAGCCGTCCAGTACCAAATAGCGGTATTCCAGGACAGACTTTCATGTCAGGAACTGCGGGAGGTGCTATGAATCTGGATAGTTTTTTTGGTGACGAGTATGAGTGGGATGATGTCCTAATGCAACAATCAACATATCGTGTGCATCCAGACTTGAAGGAGCAGTATTAAAGGTCGTGACTGGATTCTCGGCATATGCATCGGATGATTGAGCACTTTTCTTTCCTTTTCCATGGTGGGCTTCGTTGTTTCGGCATTGCACTCTCATTTGTTTATTTGTTTATTTCATCTCAGGATCTTACCATTTGCATTATAACGGATCACTGGCGCTATTTGGATTGAAATTTCGTTATGGGGCGAGATGTACCCCATCAGCGTTACATTCCATCCTTTTTGGGGTTCATTATCTTTTCTCTTGCTGCTTTGAAAATTTCCAAACGGCGGTACTATATTACTTTCTTTTCTTGGTTTGTTTTGTTTATTCTTTCAAACTCACTACTCACTATTAGGGCGAGATACTAAATATTTGGGGAAAGGGTTTTTTTGTTATTTTTTTCTTTCTAAATCTCGCTACATTAATGCCTTTTTTCTTTTTCTTTCGTTTTCGGGGTCATAAATGGGTTTTCTTCATTGTTGATAGTTTACAGATGCGGCTACAGAGGCTTGTTTCCTCTATCGTTTATCCCTTTTTTTTTGTTTTAAAATCTATGTATGGTGCTCGTTTGATGTAGGGTTGGCTGTACGAGTGACAGAATCATGTTTTGCATGGAAGATCAAAACGGAAATAAAAGAACTTTGTTTGAAAGTATCTATCACTACATACAGCTGTGTATGTACTGGCTGTCTGTAGCTTAATTCCCCATTTGGCACGATTACAAATGCAAATATGGATGGCGAAAATTTGAGCTTTTTTTTTACGAAGGTGGCAGGCAAGTACATGTAGTATACGCGTGGGGGCGATGAGCCTCTAAGGCAATTGCAAATAGGCTGGTTAAATCGTGTGACATCGTTCGTATATCACAAGCGCTAATAATAAGCGTCTATAATAGCCATCTACCGCATTACCATGCCGAGGCCTAATCAAGTAAATTCATGTAGTTGATTGGTAGCAAATGATTCACGCAGCTCCTAGGTTAGCAGCCTACGTACGTTAGTACAGAACTTACCCCAGAGCTGTCCTGTTACCGAGTGCCTGGGAGTACATGTAATCATTCTTCCCTAAAGAGCAAACGTAACAAAGGGCACTATGATATGATACGTATTGAGTCAGCTAAAATCACTCGGCAGCTTCAGGTCCCGAAGATTCCCCAGGTCCAATAATAGTTAGTATCGAGAAACAGTTCCTGGGTGATACAGATGTGTAGGCGTTTTGCGTGATTTAACTGAGAGCGATCTCGTCTAACGTCTCGACCTCAGCCTGCAAAGACAGAAGCAAGCATCTCGAATCGGATTTCGGACTCCCCCAGGTCCGAGTTGTTGGTAGTTGGGTTAGGGTTACTTACTAATGATTATCCCTGAACGTCAAATCTTGGCATGGACTTCTTGAATATCCTTAGGTAAGCCACATGCCAGAAACCGAGTGATCGATCGTGCGAATAATCCTACCGCTCATTTTTGTGCGAGCGATCACTGTATACAGTAAGTTCATTAATTATCAAAACTTACTAGATAAGATAACAGACTATTCTGATCTAAGAGACGAGGTTGGTAAACCTCTTGAGGTAGAGGCAAGGTGCCAGATGCGTAGGACGGCTACCTGTATTTTATGAGTAGACGCTTTCACAAGGGTATGGCTGTTGTGTGGGGGTATGGGTTAAACTAGATATGTGGGGAATAAAGAAGTCTTATACTGTCTTGGCTTTCTTGGTGTTGTCGGTTTATTATCGAGGAAAATGCCATACCCCCCAAACCTTTATTTCATGCATCTAGCCAGTTTTTCATTAAAATTGCAAACAGCTTCAATACACCCACTAATACACATGTATTTGCCCTCTTTGAGCATCTCGGGTATCTTGAATTAACGCACACACCCCGCCTTCTCGTTGCTCCACCCTCGCTCTCGCCTATCCTAAGAATTCTGAACAAAAAAAAGGGCTAAAAGTAGAGATGCCTCGTAATCATCATACTCGTTCCACTACATCACAAAGAAAAGCAAAGAATAGAGAGAAGAATCCCAGGAAATAGAGAAAGAAAGAAAAATATTGCAGCTAAACGTACAATTACCCTCGAATGACCCAGTGATTCAGCGCGCAAACAAGATGGTACAAATTTGGAATAAAACAAAAATCAAAAAAAAGAAAAGAATGAAAGAATGAAGAAACACCACCGTTAGTCCTAATCACTTCACATCATCTCCACTTCCACGGGTGTTCTTCTCCTTTCACTTGTTGAATCAGATCTTGCAGGAGAGATGCTCAATCCTTTAACTCCTTCAACGACGCCACCTAAACGTCCTGCAACTCCCGTAACGCCCGCACCTATTCCGGCTGCAAGTCCACTACTCGTCGCAACTCCAGAATCCGCAGCTCCACCGATCGAACCTGCACTCCCTGCTGTACCAGCCGCAGCTCCCGTACCTACCTCACCAGGTGATATAGGAGTCCGAGACCTCTCCTCCATTCCCATAACCCCAATATTCAGTACGCTCTCACTACCATTCATTTCCCCATTGTCCCTACCCCATACTTCTTCCCACCATCTAACCGCCCCTCCACTTCTTGGAAATAACACCCTTCCACCACCGACATCTCGCTCTCTCTCAACCCCATCAGCGCCGGGATCATAAAGAGGGTTAGCAAACTGGTTCCGTCTCGCCAGAAAGTAATCCCAAACACTTCTAGTACGCTCCTTAACCCGTGCATCAGCGCGTTCCTTATCGTTGTTGAACAAAAATGTTCCATATTGACACGAGTAAAGGTGGTACAATAACCGTCGGAGGAATCGCTCATTGTATTCGAATCTAGTTGGATTTTGATACAGAAGTTGATAGGTTGCATCCAAGAACTGCTGAAACATCGGAGATACCTCTTTTGGCTTTGTAATGTGTACAGGGGTGGATACAAGGTTTGCAAGTTTGGTCTTACGATCAATGTTTGAGGAATCGGGATCACTGTCGTTATTATCGGTAGCGGAGGAAGAACGGTTGACGGTATTGAAGAAGTTTTTGGCCTGCCCAAAGCCCTTTTCGAGAGCTTCTCCGAACCCCCCAGTGGGGGTGAAAGAACCGATGCTAGTAGTGCGTTGGAGCGGGTCCTCATCGGCAAGAGAGCCCTCTTCAACTGTGGGTGGTGCATTTCGGTTGGTTTCGACAAACCATTTATCACACCCAAGGAAGCCGCAACGGTCACGGAAACGATGACCAAAACTAACCCAATCCTTCTCCACAAGAGCGATAAAGCCATCGATGGTTCGAAAGTAGGGATCCAAGCATATCTGTGCGAGTGAGCTTAGTTGAGAGGTTCGATCCCATCCATCGGAACAGTGAATAAGAACATGGCTATGTTCGACTGCAATCTGACGGACAATAATTGAAGTCCCATCAAGCATAAGACCGATGTGTTTTAGCCAACCGGATCGCACGAGGAGCTCTTTATTAGGGCTTAATGGGGATATATCAAAATCCTTGATCGCATCTACAACCTTTGCTAGCGAATCTCGCATAACATGTATATTGTCGATACCGAGATAAGTTTTGGTACAGGGAGGCGAGGAGCAATGTCGATAATTATCCATATTTTCACTACCCATTCCGACGGCTTGCATAGCGTAGGCGTTAACTGTTGGGCGGGCATCGACTATGAGGTTGTGTTGCTGTGCTCCGTAAACGCGTCCTTCCGCAACTACCGGCTCTGAAGTTATGGAATCCACGCCATTATCTACGGATGATGAGCTGGAGAGGTTGGTCGAGGAACCGTTGGGGGATGGGGTAGACGTGGTGAGATATGCGGGGGTTTGTGACGCATTTTGAGGCTGCGACGAAGCGAATATCGCTGCGACAAGCTTTTCATCTTGAATGCTGCGATTTCCGCGGACTCCAGTCAAGGGCTGTGCACAACGAGTTATTGAGCAGTTGTTGAGGGGATGCAGGTATCTATGCCCTTATTTGTTAGTCTTCTGTCCGCCCCAAGTGATAGAGGAAAAGAGGTATAAATACGTTAGTACGGGTATCCGGGCACGAGATCGGTAGTTTTTTGCGTGAGACAGTGTCGTATCACTTATAGTTGCTGGAACTACCAATAATTGAGGATACGTCGGCGAAAACTATAGATGTTAAACCATAAGCTAGCTGGTGGGTTGAGAGGCTAGGAAGTATAGTAAAATATCGATGGCAACAAAGCTTACGATTGGAACTCAGAGGATGACGTTACTCACAGCGTAGTCTTTATTAATCCTTGAGATCCTCCAGCCTTTACACTTATCCGTACCAACTCCCATTCTTTCATATTCCTTCCGTGGATCGTAAGCTGCCCAACCATTGTGCTTTCTTTCTGGGGACCCAGGGGTATAGAAGAAAGCATAGAGCTTCTCCACACTCTTCACAACTGACAGAGACTTTATGCTCTCGAAGACTTCTCTACACTCCCTATCCGTACGAAACTGCAACATTAAGAACATGAAATCACGATTTCTAAGTCTAATGTGAGCCTGTGAACCGGCACTCGGGGGATTGCGGTACACATTGGCGATAATAGGATATGTTATCCATATTTCGGTAGGTCGTGTATTCGATTCTTCATCAGGATTTGCTCGGAAGATGAGGTGATGAGGGGTGAGGTGGATTGTTCCAACGGTGGGTAGACCACGGTGTAGGATTGTCACCTCTTCGACCTTTGTGGGTATCTAATAGTTAGCTTCAAAGCCAGTAAAATATAGAGAGTAAAGGGCAAGGGTAGAATACTTTAGCGACCCGGATATGCTCCATGTGTCGCGGGTGTTAAGAGCTCAAGGTGCGGGGTTGGGGCCAAAGAGAATGAGGATGAATGTAGAGGGTTGAGATGTGAATCGTAGGTGTTTTGTTGAGGTGGCTTTAGATTTTTGGGGCTGACAAGAAAGTACGGGAGTGCCTTCTCTGCTTGTGCCTTTTCGAATCTGTCAAGCTATCAAAACAACTATCTCGAATAAAACACAAGTTGTTGAGTATAACAAATACTATTATAATCATTTTACAGAATACATATATTTATCGCCGGCCCGAGAAGCGCTACCTACATGTATCTCTCTCGCCCTACCGTATCACTGTGCTGTTGGCAACAACAGCCCCGCCATACATACCTCATCATGGTTTGTCCCAGCCAGTGGTCGGTAGCGCCACACACGTGACTGAGCAAGGCTATTCCTATTTTGGTGAAGCCGTTCGAATCTGGGGTTAGGAATCATGTATCCCGCGCAGCACAGTACGGGACGGTATGTACCTACAGAAATTCCAGAGCAAGATAGAGCTGAGCAATAGTGACAGGGAAGGATGCAGTGATAGAGGAGTGTGAAAAGAATAGGACGCTACATATACACATGTTTAAACAAATATCGCACCCACTGCCTTTTCTCCCGTCGACATTTTTCCATCTTTCCCGGATTTTGTTTCCACTCCATGTTTATTCGTTTATTACCCCTTGGGGAAACTGTTCACGTTAAATTCTTGGTGCCGGCTTGTTGTGATGACATGACGACCCTGATTAGCTCGTTCTTCTACGTCACACAATTCGTCCAACACCTCCAACACTTCCTACAGCCTTCTCTCTCAAATCCCCATCCTCTCCCTTATCTTCTGTCACCATCATCGTCACCTCAACCACAACCACCATAATTACAAGCTTTTCCTAACCACTTTATCTCTCAAGCTATGCCGTCCACTCTACGTGCTGCCTCAGACGCGATCCCGACGCGCCTTAAACCTCCTCTACTAGTTCTCATGAACCTCGTCCTTTCCACAGCCTTCTCCTATTTCGCGTCTCCCTGGATATATAAAGATGTCACCGCGATCCAACGCCCTATGACCTCTCTCAGTGACTATATGGGCCTTGTAGGATGGCGAATCATCGAGCTTATGTGCCACTGGGTCGGCGGCTGGGATGGTACAACGCTCGCCCTACAGTTTAAATTGGTTACTGACCCGACTGCGCAAAACAGCGACCCAAGCAGCTTCCCTAGTAATGCTCTCTCTCGCGCCAACCATGCATTACATGCACACTTTCCAACCGTCACATTCCCCTTTGATACCAACCCTTGCAGTTGTCGCGGCAGGAGATCTTCTAAGTCTCTATCTACCGCTCCTATTTCTTCGCAAGAGCCCCCCAGATTCGAAGTCAACTCCCGCAAAGAAAGAGAATAAGATTTTGGACACAACAAGACTCCTAACGACGCTATTAACAAGTACACTCTATCAATTAGTACTTCACTCTACAGGCAAGAAATTTCTCGTGGGCTGGCTGATCAGCTCCGGATGGGATATTGAAAGCGTTGTGCGCGTGCATGATGCCCCCGAGGGGGTGCTGCTGGCAAGAGCATTTCTGATGATTCCAATCGGATGGGCTGCATCAGAAATCATCTTCTACTCTCCTAACGATGCCACTGACTCCGCGATCACCACATATCCACCAGTGGAGAAGAACGAAGGGCCAGGAGAAGAAGCGACGGGTGTTTGGGCCTATATCCTCCGTCTGTGGCTCAAGTCACTTTCGCCACGAGGCCGAAAGATCGTGAAGCGGACTCTGCTGGTTGCGGCCTACCAAGGTGTTAGCGCAACTGTAGCTTTGGCTGGGACGGTAAAGGGAGGGGATTTCAAGGGTGCTATGGGTATTAGCGGAGTTTGGACGCTTGCGACAGTCCTTGTAGGGGCTGTTTTGGGATGGGTCGGAAATGTTTAAGAAAATAATATAAAGCATTGTTGAGGATACGTAGATGTTTCTTAGGATTGTCATTGGAATTCGGAAGGCGCAGAAGACAGTGATGAAGGTTGGGCGGGGGCGGGGGCTAATATGGAGGATGGGAATGGGGCGAGGCGTTGACATTGATTGAGATGAGATCAATCTGCTTGATTATTTTTTTATCTTATTACTTATTATTATCTTTTATTCCTTTTCTACTTACTCATCGGGTTATTTTCTTTCTTTGTTATCTAGTCAGGTATTTCTCCTTTGTCAACGCAGGGGATAGGAATCAAGGATGGGATGGATGGCAGGTGCCGAAAAAGTGTGTATTCCCTATTGTGTGTGTCTGTTGCTAGTCAAAGTCAATCAATTGAGGATTTGCGATACAATCATTGTAGTTTTGTATCTATTCTGGATCTAGATGGAAGAGGATTTCGGGTCGTGGCTATTGAGTAGATTATATACCTGATGTTAGTGTAGTATGGCATTTGATCTCGAGCATTAGACGTTGAGTATTACTATTGCCGGAGTGGGGCCATAAACCATGCGTCATCGCATACTCTAGTAGAGTACCATTCTTTTTGCTTTTGTTTAGATTCTCGCCTTGTCAGGTTAACTAAAGCTTCCCGTAGTTAACGTTTCCTGCAGAAGATATGCCAACAATTGAATCCCGGGAATTTGCTTACTGACTGCATAAGTAAGTAGTCTCGTGCCCTGCAAATCTGCGGTTCCCCACATATGCATATCATGATACTGCTGAGAAGTCGACGCCGGATTGTGCCTTTGCTTCCTTTAAATATCCGGCTCTGTAGAGTAAGCTCCGCTGGGGATGGCTAATTGGCCAGCCAGGTGCGCGTTTGCTACTGTTTTTGGCGCGCCCGGATTAATTTACCACTTCCGAATAAGAGTCGAAAGCTCGGCGGGGGCGGATCAATATCAGGTTCTGTTTAGGCACCAATTTTTTTTCTGCGGGGTAGTTCAATACTTCTCTCCGGTTTGTCAGCTGCTAGGGTAATAATATGATAGCTCATCTGCCACTGTCAGTGGTTGAATGCACGTTAGGCTCTGCCAATGTGAATGGCCAACATGCCCTTCAAAGAAAGAAGAAAGAAAGCCCTTCTTTGTACCAGGGGAAAAAAGGAAAACGGCTTTCACGATAAAAATCCCAAGGTCAGGGAAAAAGCAAGGGCGTGCCTTTTACGCAAGGTTCCTGCATCTGTCCGATCCGGGACTAAAATGATGTCTTTTGGCAGGACCCAGTTTCGGTTCTCCTCCGCCCTTTTTTTTTATCCTTCCCGGAGCTCCGTTACCCGTGGGGGCTCAAAAGTGCGATGGGATGGGATTGAAGATGTTTTTTTTTTTTTATAATTTGCATGATAGAGGTGGTGGAAGGGGAGGGGATGGACGAGGAAGTTAGGTTATCGAGCTATCTATCTATTGAAGCTTCCCCGGATAGCAACACGATAGCGCAAGTCAGGTCCCACTGCAGTTTTTCCTCCCTTCAGAACTTTCCTTGGGGGAGCATGGCCATGGCAGGAGGAGGAGGGACAAGAGGAGTCAAACAAACCTCGTGATGAGTTTGAACCCCCCCCCCCCCCCCCCGCGTGCGCCTCTTTCCACTCCCCTCCCTCACGTGGGGCTCTCTCTCCACTTTCCCGACGTTCAACGCTGCATCCCCAATTTCACCCGTTGTTGCGTTGCAGCAGCAGATAGCAGCAAGCAAGCAGGTAAGAGAGCGTGTTATGTAGGTTGTTATTAGTACTGGCGGTACTGTAGGACAGGATGTTCCTAATCCTTACAATCAATACAGTAAAGTAAATCAATCAATCATTCAATCAACCTGCCCCCCTCTCTCCTCTCCGTCCGGCTCTCACGTCATCGGCAGATAAGGCCCTACCATCCGAGCTTCTTCTTCCTCTTCTTCTTCCCTCTCTCTCTAGTCTTTTTATCTTTCTTACTACTATAGTCTACTCGAGTGAACAAGCGAATCCGAACAAGTGACAGGTGACTGCAGCAGACTTGTGCCCGGGTTTTCCATCGATCTTCTGTGTCCCAAAACCTCAAGTCCTACCCACTACCATACCAACTACTTGCTTGCTCCTCGGATTCCCGCCGAGGTTACCTCCAGATATCTCTCCGCGCTCAGACACATTACTAGCTATAGAGAACCGTTGCATTACTACAAGAGGCAGAATAAAGAACGATTGATCCCTTAACCGGGTCATTCCGCACTTCCTCAGCCCCGCAGCTACATTCCGAGCCGGGAGGATTAGCAGTAAAGACAGTGCTGGTTTCATAACTACACCTCACGTCAGGTCACGATAACGGTTCGTTGCTACCGATTACCAGGATACAATTACTCGACGGCAACACGCAGACAAGAAGGACACCACCCTCCGCTCTAGAGTGCACTTCTCATTTCTACAACACCTGACTCGTTTCCGGAGAGATAGGGACCAAGAGGGAAAACAGGGAACTCAGTTGATCAAAGGAACGGCTTAAAAGCACGCGTTAGTGGACCAAGAGAGCAAGCAAGACAGACTTCAATAAGCTTAACAACCAGCTACAGCACAGAACAAGATGGGCCTCGCATATAACGTTTACCTCAACTCAAGCCGTATCTACGGATGCAAAGACTGTAAAACACACCTCTCAAACCACGACGATATCATCAGCAGGGTACGTCGCCCCCCAGCTCGTTAGCTAGTTCTAGTTCTAAAGCTCGCATGAAAGCTAACCTAGCTCGCTTGCTCCTACAGAACTTTCGTGGCCAACATGGAAAAGCGTACCTTTTCAATACGGTCGTAAACATCAAAGAGGCGGAACCGGTGGAGCGAAACATGACGACTGGTCGCCACATCGTGCGTGATATTTCATGCAAGCAGTGCAAGGTCATCGTCGGCTGGAAATATGACAAAGCCTACGAGACCCCCGAGAAGTACAAGGAGGGAAAGTTCATCTTGGAGGCAGAGCTTCTGGTGACTGTGCGTTAAGCGGTTTGAGATTTGCGTGTGGGAGGGGAGCTGGTCGGGTGACATAGCGGGTAACAGGAGGAGACCTAGACGGTATTTCTTCCCTTTTTTTTATACGCCTTTGCCGGTAAGGCACATTATTGTGAGAGATTCTATTCACTCTTTCATGGATCAATTTTATTTTACTGTCTTTTCTTTTGTGATTTTGTGTTAGTGGGGGGTTTCTTGGAATTGCAATTTTCTTTTTTTACTGGGAGGTTCATCTACTATAAGGAGTGCCGGGTTTGGTGAAGGGGGTTATGATGGGTGTTCAATGGTGCAAAGATATCTTCTACACTCTCCCCCTTTTCCATTTTCTTCTTTCTCTTTCCTTCATGAACCATATGACTCCTATGAGTTATTTTGATTTTGATGTTTTCTTAAGGAGTTGCTGCGGTTTGTCTTCTTTCTTTTTCTTTACAGCTATTTCATTGGTGGGAGTTTACTGTTCTTTGGGGGTCGGGCCATCTTATTCAAGATCGGAAGCAGAACTTGCTCCAACAAGTGCTGCGGCTGGTTTTAGACATCTGGCCCTGAGAAAATGCAGGCCAGAGAGGGAGTGATCGAGTGATGAGTCGTGCGTGGTTCTCGGGTTCTATCTACCCTCTCCTCTTATTATTATTCGTCCGCATTCTTTTTTTATCCAGAGTCCCCTTTTATTGAATTGAATTTGCAGATATGTTCATAAACTCAGACTGACTGGTGTCAGCGCACCCAATACTTTTGTGGTAGAGATAGAGAGGTGTTGCTGGGAATATATGGGATGGAGGTCTATCAGATATTGTCTTGCTGAAGCCTTGGAATAGCTGATCTAGTGGATCTGTTCTGTCCCTCCTCATGAACAGCCTACCCCGCTACCAGGACTCTAGTAATAGGACCAAGATAGTTGATTCTATCGGGACAATTACAACTACTTATCTAGCGCAAGAATCACATGCACAGCGTGCAGACCTCTTGTAGCCCGTTGCGGATCTGGGAATAGAGGCGGCGCAACATCGCTTCCCGTCGGTGGTGCGCAGTAGTGTAAAGGTTATAGATGTAGTGCGAGGGGTATGTATGATTGTGGGGTGCTAGTCACGCTGTATAATGACGAGGATAATACTATCCATATGGGTCGCTTGTGGGAGGTTCAGGATAAGACTTTGGGTGCTGATGGGCTCGATGGGTGAGGGGGGATAAGCTGCGATAATGATACCGTGTCTCTGACTACCAACGTGACGAGATTGGGATTCTCTTTCATGCTGTAGGCTTTGTCAGGTATTACTGCGCTAGGCTATTGTCATGGATTATCACTCGCTTGCCTTCAAGCGCCAATTTCTAAGCGCGTCACGCATGAGTAGAAACCACTGTCATTATCGAGGCAGCTCCCCCTCCTCTCCTTTCCCATCCTCACTCGCAACTACAACTACCGCCGGTGATGTTTTCCACAAAACATCTTACAGGAACTCCTAGCAAGAGACACAGCTGCAAGTAGAGAGCGCCTACATATTGTTCATGCAGATACGTACATGGTTTGGGGGGAAACCCCGGCCCATCACAGCGACTGCAACCAGTACGGGATCATTGCTGGGCCTGCGCTATGCTCACCTGCTAGCCATGAAACGTGCAGGACTTTTGGGGCGACCGGATTGAAGATTGTGGTTGAACGAATTAAGTGTGTGATTATTTATTCTCGGTAATGATGAGAAGTCATCCATCTAGATCTATAGAAGTATGCAGATTTCATGGTCCTGGCACAAGCCCTAAGAGCCCCTTTCCGTCAGTGGATCGAATCTTATACCAGGCCTATCAGCCAGTCGGTGAAGGTTCCTGGAGTGGGTGTAACCAGTATTGTAAGTTTGTGTTCTTAGGGGATAACCACGATACCGGGAGAAGAAGCCCCCCACTACTCCGACGCGGGGGGGGGGGGGCAGGCAAAGCACAGTCATATAGTGCCTACCAACAGATAAAGAATAGTAAGAATTTCATCCTCCACTACAAAAGATTAACTTACACGGTAACCTCTTCTCCACTCCACAGTTAGTGAGCATCACATAATATCACTCGGCACGTCTTGCCTATAACAAGAGGGTTACACACCTACGCCGAGCGCGGAGGAATGGGGTTCCCTTGGTCTTGGGAGCGTGTAGAGCATGGTCTACTGCCTCGAGAGTTATTTATCACCCCCGGCCCCATACTTGGTCTGTGGGATATCGTATCTGAAGATGACCACCGAAACGCAAAAAAATGAATGCAACCGATATGACACATATTATATTCCATTAATAACATCACCACAAACTATTCGAAGCCGATAAATATAGTCTTTAAAGCTCATCGAGCCCATGGCCCTTCATAGGTTGACAATACCTATTCTGAGAACAGTGACTAGACTCTAAACCGCAACACAAACAAAACATAGCACCAAGAAAACATGAAGACGAAAATAAGTCTATTCCACATATCTAATTCCTCCTAATCCCGCTATTACTTTAAATTTCTCTTGCCTAGTCCACCCGCAACACCCATCCCCACCATCCCGGCCACAATCGGCGGCGAGCTCCCCACTTTCGCAACGTTATAAGTACTCGACCTGCCCAGCCCCACGCCACTTGGCCCCAGCGCGCCTAATAGATCTACCGGCCCACCAGTCCCTACTGCCAGCGGCGTCGTTGGCGCTCCAAACTTGCCAATCCTACCAAGCCCCAGCACACTCCAATACGTATGCTCCCTACGCTCCTTGACCTCCTTTCCGAGGCCGTCCTCGCGCTCTACATCAGTCTCATACTCAACCCTGACCGAAACGGGCACCTGTACCAGGTAATCGTCCTCGGTCGGTGAGTCCTTGCCTCCGGCCTCATCGGTCGTATACTCGCTCGGCAGCAGCGGGGGCACTATCTCGATCACGACGGTGGTCCAATTGCGGCCTGCGTCCCAGACAGTCCCGGTATTACCGGTCTTCTTGCCCTTGCGTGTGTTCTTGCCTCCTGTGGCGGCATCGCCGGTCCCGAGCGCTTCGTCCCATATGTCACTGTTGGCGCCGACCTCAAAGTCTGGGCAGAGAATTGTCACAGTGGTGCCGAAGCGCCCCGGGGTCCGCTGTGGTGTTGCAAGTGTCACATTAATTGCGTCAAACAGTGGGTTCGTCACCGTGAGCAGGAACTGGTGCGTCGTTAGCGGTGTCAGAGAGTTGTAATTCACACTCCCTGGATCAAGCCGCGAGATAGACAGCGATGGGATATAGTTCATTGCTACAAGCTTTATGCGGAATCGCGTGGTGGTGACTTTGCTCTCTGGCTTAACGAGAATATGACGACAAGCTCTACAGCGCTTAGAGCGCTTCGTCCGTAGAAGTACCGCAAGCGGGCGGACGTCCTGCGTGAATAGCGGGCCGGGGACACCTTGGTTGAGTCGCTGCGCGGTGCTGGTGGTGCCGGCAAAGCCTTGTTTACGCAGCTGCGCGATTGTGGCGTCCTCGTTCTGGATCTCGAGTGTGTGATCCATTTCGCTCCACTCAGACTTGCGGTCTCGTCCGATCAGTGGCTTCGAGATTCCAGACCCACCGCTGAACGAACGGGGTTTTGGGCCCCCGACAGTGAGAGAGGTGGAAGAGTATAGCCCTATCAGCCGCGAAAGAGCGTTTGAGCCAAACTCGTCTGTGCCGGTAGAGGCGCGCTGAGAGGCGTAATGGACCTTGAGGCGCTGGTACATCTCTGCTGTTGTCGGGGGTGCGCGAGGCGCATCGTTGGGCGGGAGGGATATCGTAGGCGTGATGCTAATGGTAGGAAAGTAGGAGTCTGATGGTACTGATGGCGCAGGGGTTACTGATGGCGTAGAGACAGTCTTGAGCTTCTGTGCAAGCTGTGTAGTGATTGAGGTAGGTTTTTCGAACTCAATGCCAATCTCGGAGGAGCTCCAGTGGCAGTGGGGGCAGAGGAGGACGTATGGGCCGCCTTGGTCGTCACGGGTGGAGGCGACGACGAGAGAGGCAAAACAGATGGGGCAGGAGAAGCAGTTACGGGTGCAGCTGTGTGTCCGAGTGAGCGTGGCCCAGATCTATGGGAGAGGGGGTCAGTCGGAGAGGTGCATACCGGTTCCCATCAGACTTGATGGCGGAGCTGGGGACCTCGAAGAGACAGCTCGGACAGAAGTAGCAGACAATCTCATCATGCACGCATCTGGGGCACCGTATCTGGTTGCAATCCTCGCAATAAAGCAAGCTTTCGAGTGGGAATAGACTGAAGTTGCTCCTGGCCGACCTGGGGTCAAACCGTTCCTCCTCCTCCGACTCTTCTTCTTCCGCCGCTTTGTGGGATCGGGATTTCTTTTTGGCAGGCTTGGGAGTGATAGAGATCGAATCGGCACAGGGACATGATATGTGGATTGTGGGGAACACCATGGTGATTTTGGTCTGTATTTGGTATTGGTATCAGAGAGCACCTGGACTTCTTGAGGTTGACGTGGGGTGAGGCTCTGGGATCCGTGCCCTTGGGTGCATATATCGGCTTGGCGGTGAGCTTATTCGTTATGCGTGCAGGCTAGCTGCATGCAAGAAATTAACAGTTTATACAATTCTGTGAGAAAAACCTGAATGTGTCTAGTATGTAGTACGGATTAGCATTGAACCACTGCCCAGAATGTGAGTGCGAGATGCTAAGATCACATGCGCCATATATATGCACTTACGTGGGGGGAGAGACAGTGACAATGGATAACCGTAAGGTAAGGTTGCTCAATGCCAGTGTGGTATCTGCTATGTATTCCTATAAAGCGAATACCTCCGAGTCGATGAGAGATGATATCACCTTTCGGCAGTTATAGCTAGACCGACTCAAACTCAAGTTAGAGAAAGACATAACTATCGGTTTCCTGTAAACTAACTAACCACCCTCGAGCCCTATAAGGTTAAAGCGTTGAACTGCTCATTGTTCACTACGCATACGTGCTACTGTAGGCCTGTACCTAGTCTAACTACCGGAGGAGCTAGGGCATTGTCCTTCTGACGTTAATTGATGGGATCCTTTTCTAGGGGTGTTGAGAGCTCTCCAATGTCGGAGATGTTTTCGGAGCCCAGTTTACATACAAAATTAAGGTTTCTTTTAGACTCCGACATGACAATCAAGCTTATAATGGGTTTTTAGGCTCCGAAATGAAAGTTAAAGTTTATTTTGACCCCGATATCACAATTTAGACTCCGATATCACAATTCAGGGAAATTTGGACTCGGACAGGAAGCTAGAGGGTGTCAGGATTATTTCCCGACATTTGTCAGCAAATTAATGCTCCAGACCCTACGATGAGCAGCGATCTGCTCGTAGGCGATGGGTACGAGCTCGAGACTACATGTACATATTTAGTGCTACTGCTGCCAGCGTGTGACTTGATAACAAAACATTTGATTAAAGTTCGAGGTAACGATTAGTACGTTAGAGGCTGTCGATACAACCATCCCCGCTCTCTCTCTCTCCAGTATCACCATGTGCACATATCACACTGCTTATCATGCCAGTTTAAAATTACAATTTATTGTCTTGTACGTTTCAACTTTCGGGGGAGTTTTCCTAATACACTACACTGACCGAATTGGCGATCAGGAAAAATTCCGAAATTTGCAATGTCCTGGTGCGACGTGCGGGACGAGTGATGGGGTGTGACGTTACAGACCACGGGGGTGCGGCTGGAAAAAAGCGGTGAAAGTGAAGACGGTATACGGTCTTTGACGAGAGTCTATCTGTCACCCATTTTATCGGAGTTTCCAAGAGTGGATGAGAATAGTAATCGTGGACTACATCCTTTTAAGACGTATATTCTACTTTTCCGCATGAGATATCACTCGAGAAGCTTTTCCTTGAAATAATGGGAGTGGTCGTGTCTCACTAACAGTTTATGGCTAGTGTAAATTGGGTTCATTTTAGTAAAGCAACCACCAACAAACAGTTCTCCGTGGCGCAATTGGCTAGCGCGTTCGACTGTTATTTGTCCCATCTATGGGGTTTGTTGCAATCGAGAGGTTGACAGTTCAAGCCTGTCCGGGGAAGTCCATTAGAAACATCTAGGCCCAGTGACATCCAATTTTTTGGCTTTGAAAGATATTTTAGTTTAATTTGATTTTTTACTCAATTTTTTGTCTTCTTTAGGTCTCGAGTCATGATCTATAAACCTACTATCCACCCTGACCCTGTGGTACACTCAAGAAAGTTCTTTCTTATTGCGATGCCTTTTAGACTGTAGAATTAGAACTACATGTATTAAGTACATGTACTTTGTAGTAATAGATGTAAAAGGACAACTTGGAGTTCACACTAGCCCGCAAAATAGCGGACAACAATCCACGCACATCGACCTAATACATCAGAGAGCTTTCTTCTAGATCCGCCTTTCTTTCTTTTGTTTCCACAAACCACTGTCGACTTCTCATCACCATTAACGCCTCGCCAAGCGTATGATACGGCTATACATGCATTTCCTTCATTTTACCAACTACGTATTTACTTACATCATGTATTCACATTTATCAGTATTTCTATATTAAGGCCGTTCCCGTGATTCGTAGAGCGGAGATTACTACTGGTCGATCCATCACGATCTTCATCCAACAGAATCTTAGAGCTTAGGCGCCGTGTGTTGTAGCTCAGCTATAAGTGAGACTGAATTGGAATTTCTGCCCGTCTGGTGCGGTTTTATCCGAGTTTTCAATGGCGGGGTGACTTCAGAACGTCATGATGGTATGTCCCCCTTCAAACCTCTTCCCCGATTACAACGAAACAGAGACTCATGCACTTTGAGGTAGTAAGACCTGTGGGTCTTTTGATTGGCGGTTAGGAGTTTCTGGTCGGGTAGACTTGCTTCATGAAATATCACCCGGCTGCAACTTTTGCCGCTAGCCGTGGCCAACGATAGATCTTGGCTGTTTTACGAATTTGGTAGAAGTTTGGTGTGAGTACATACTTCTGTAGGTGTTTCTGCAGTGAAACTGTGGAGAGATTGAGGTAAATGGTTTGGCGGGATTATGAGTCTGGGATTGGCGGGGATGTTCGCCTATAGATCGAGATGGTGGAGTGGAGTAGATAACCGCCATTGATATACTGGAAATATCTGGATTTGCGTACGTATGTACCGACATATTAGCCTCGAGAAGGAGAGACTTAAGCATAGTACAATTCAATACGTTAATTGTTTCTTCTGGGTCTGCTAATAGCATGATATCAACAATAGGACCAAATTAGCCCCCATTATAGGATTACGTGTCAACCTATTTCAATCAAGCGGGGTGTCACGCTATTGAAATTGGAGTTTTTTTCCCCTTCTAGGTTGATATATTGCAGCCAACATTATTGTTCACTGGTACCGTGGCAGTTGATGAATTGACAAATGGATTCCCTGTCTACCGCGCGCTTTGTTATATGGCACTCTCCATATATGTCTACCCGCAGCAACAGAGATAACTAACAAAAGCTTCTCTATCTAGGTAATTAGCAGCACTATCAGCATATGTACTGTATAAACCTTGAAGCGCCTGGGCCTGGACATTCGGAATTGCGCAATGGATGACAACGATATTGTCAGCCAGGCTAGTAGGGAAGGTACAGATCAGAAACCAGCTGTGTTATATTTCACCAGTTGTATATGAAATCCGCACACCTTGGGATCAAAGTGGCGTTTTTTTTGTTTCCTTCCTCTGCAGTGGTATAAAACCCGTGGGGGCGTTTCCAATCCCTGATACATACCGCCAGAAATTACCTCTCCACGTAACTAGATATACCCCGTCTCGACATGCAACTCTTATTTCGTAGCCGAAGAAGAGTGGGTCGGATACCCGGCACGATGGTTGGTGATTGATGCGCCTGGCAGGGACTCTTGACAGCCGCGCGGTCCAGGGGGAAGGAGGAGGAGGATTAGGAGTGAGACATTAGTAGATCTATCTCATCGTGCCTCGGGACGGTGTCCGTCAGGTAGAACATGGCGACCGTTTATCACTGCCAAAGGAATGAACGAAAGTTGTGTCTTTTCCGGTAGGTTTAAGAGTTACTGAGAGATCTGCGACGCTCGGAAGCTGCCGAACGAAACGCTGTAGGTCTTGTATCACATCCTTCCCTCCACCCTCCTTCGCCTGGTACTGCTTTGGTCATTGATCGACTCTCCCTACTCATCTTTAGTGATACAGTAGGCTAAAAACCTTTTTTTTATCTGCAAAGAAGATCTTCAGTTCTTCTTATAGAAGGAAAGGCAAAAATTGCGGGTGCTATTTCGGTAGTTCAAAATAAGTACAGGAAGATCGTGCTCAGGCACATACCGGTCAACATACCTACCGGTAGCACGATGGAAGATGGCGGATGGGCGGATGGAAGGCTTTGACCGAAGAGAACATTAGCAAGAAGCAAATCGCTTACTGCCATACACACGCTTCATCAGCTTGCAAGTGTTTCGGAAAATAAACAAGGCTTCCAATAAGGTGGTGGCTCTAACGCGCTGACGACATAGAATGCGCAAAATCCACATTCTCAAGAGTGCTGGTGTCTGTCTAGAATTCCGAAACTGCGGGCGCCAAGTGACTTGACTGGTTCGGTTCGGTTATCTCGGTACCTTACATGGAGGTTGTGTGGTGTATGGTTTTTTCCGCTTGGTTTCGAATTAATTGGGGGGGGGGGGGGGGGGGAGAGTGGAGATGCTCAGATCTTTAACACCACTCTACTCTACTGGCTGCAGCAGCCAAGTTTCATCCAGACGGACTGGTAATGACAGCTCGTCCAATTAATCAGATTGATTGTCTACTGCCTATCCGAAGAGGCTAATAGCAAGCAGGCAAGCCACACCATCGAGCAGCCAAAGCAGGGTTGTAGGCAGCCAGGCGTCTCGCTAGTGTTTGGAAATGCTGGGAACCGACGGCCATTCGCAGGGCCTTCTTCTTCGATTCCTTTTGCAGAAGGATGGGTGGTAGATTGCGTACGTCGTAGGTACCCATACCCAGCTCAAAGTTTGATGTTCTACTCTGGAGCTCTGGAGTTCCCGAACATGCAAAAAGTAATACTTCGCTTCCTCTCACGTTGTTAATCGCATGCACACCACCAACCACTACTATCCGCCCCAATGGGGATCCGCGGTTTAACAACTGCAGGCACATTGTTATGTACCTTTACCCCCAGAGTGCAGATTCAGAATATCAAAGTGAACGTAAAGCTTGAGGTCCTCTCTTGCGAATGAAACCACATGTACTTACATACCCTGGTGGGAGTTTATTTATGGCCAAATCAATGAGAGCGTAATGAACCAGTAAAGTAATACCCACGCCTTTTTTTATGGCAAGTGGTAAGTATAGTGGTCAGGGCTGCGCCTAATAACTGCAGTTTCTTACTGACCGGTACTTGGTTGGCTTGCTTCACCGCACCCCGGGACGGTAGTGAATCCCTGCAAACCAAAGGTTGCTTGCTCCCCCCGGTCCCAGTTATATGTTAGTCGTAGCAAACTTCTTGACGTCCACTATGCACATGTACTACTGGCCGCCCAATTAATCTATATCTTACTACACTCACTCACAGCACTCGCGGCTTTGGTCCCCCCCCCCCCCCCAGCTCAAGAGTCTGACTTATTACCGTGTCTTTCCCTCTCTCGTCCCTTCCCTTTTCTTCTTTTCTTCTCACCACTTGCTCTCGTTCACCTTCACTTGTGGAGAATTAAACCTTTACGGCTTACTTAACCAGCAGTTCAAGTCGGCGCGGGGCGCATTAACATTCACTCTTTTTTTATTATCTATATTCTCTTATCCTTATCCTGTTTTTGCAGCTGGTCCGCCCATATAACTTGATCGATTCATTACTACTTTGCTGGCAAACATGATTAACAACTTTGTTCTTCGATCTTTTGGGGCTCTTGCAGCTTCCGGACTACTGTTTGCATCAGCTACCATGGCATCTTCAGCAGGAGTTCCTCCAGCTGGCGAAGATAGCGGGGAGCTTGTGTACGTTCTCATCCCAGATATAGGCCCCCACATATAGAGGTTTTCTAACCACACAAACGTTAAACAGAAATATCGAATTCGGAAAATGGATGCTCGTAGCCCTCGGGGCTTTCGCCGGAATTCCATTGATCTACCGTCTCGTATCCGTGATATATTGCCAGATTCGTCTCATGGCCTCACTGGGTCTCGAAAATCAAACCTACTTCTCCAGCCACAAGCACGAATGGGTCTCCTGGCTCAAGATTAACATCCTCTACGCCCCCTTCTGGAAGAACCGACACAACAGAGAACTACAGATTTCACGAGCTCTCGACATTGGTACTCTCCCAACTAGGTTCGAGTCGTTCTTTTTGATTGGATATGTGGTCGGCAACATTGTCTTCTCGCTGCACAAGATCGACTGGGACAGCGAGACAACTGCCATCCTTGGTGAGATCAGGAACAGGACAGGTGTGCTATCGACCATCAACTTGGTACCGCTTTTTTTGCTGGCTGGGAGGAACAACCCGTTGATTCAGTTGATGGGCATCTCATTCGACACATACAACTTGGTACACAGATGGCTTGGTAGGATCGTGGTAACGGAGGCATTCGCACATTCGGCGTGCTGGGCTGCCGCTAAGGTTATGAAGGGTGGTTGGGCACCAGTCGGTGCGGCAATTCAAGGGAGTGTGTTCATCCAGATGGGATTCGTCGGAACTTGTGCGTTCGTCTTCCTGATGTGCCACTCACCCTCGTCACTTCGTCATGCATTCTACGAGACCTTCTTGTTCTTGCATATTGTTGCAGCTGCCGTGGCATTGGGTGGATTGTGGATGCATCTCGACTACAAGAAGTACAGATGGCTCGTATACGTCAAGATTGCCATCGCCCTCTGGGTATTTGACCGCAGTGTCCGTCTCTTCAGAATTATCTACCGCAACATCGGAAAGCGTATTACCACTGCCACCGTTGAGATTCTACCTGGCGAGGCCATCCGTGTCACTCTCGTAAGCTCCCCCCCTAAATACCTTCCAAAGTATCATTTCCATCCGCTAACAACACATCTACAGAAACTCGCCCGCCCGTGGAAATTCCGCCCCGGTCAACATGTATACCTCTATGTCCCCTCAGTCGGCCTTTGGACCTCGCACCCCTTCACGATCGCATGGGGCGAGCAGCTCCAGCAGAATCACAAGATGGATGATGAGCGTCTCTCATTCCATAGACAGGACCTGATGCATATTGGCGAGAAGACAATGTCACTGGTAATTCGTAGGAGAACGGGGTTCACAAATGCACTTTTTAATAAGGCGGACGCAACGCCAAACAAGGTTATAACGCTGAAGGCACTGGCTGAGGGGCCCTACGGAAAGGTGGATAGTCTTGCGAGTTACGGGACGGTGGTTTTGGTTGCCGGAGGAGTCGGAATTACACACCCCGTTCCTCATATCAGAGATTTGGTGGAGGGATATGCGAAGGGCACTGTAGCGACTAAGAGGATTGTTTTGGTGTGGGTTGTTCAGAGTCCTGGTAAGTCTTTTTGTGTGGTGGAGCATGCGTTGTCACTCGTTACTGACTTGCGTTGCAGAGCATCTGGAGTGGATTCGTCCCTGGATGACAGATATCCTTGCGATGGAAAGACGCCGCGAGGTCCTTGAGATCCAGCTATTCGTCACCAGACCAAGCTCAACTAAGGCTATCCACAGCCCTTCGGCAACTGTACAGATGTTCCCAGGCAGACGTAAGCTTCCCTTATATCGTGCTTTTCTTCTCAATAGATGCTAACATTCTTTTTTTTTAGCCAACATCGACACTATCCTCGATCGTGAGATCGACCGCCGCATGGGCACAATGGGTGTAACAGTCTGCGGAAGTGGCTCGCTGA